TATTCGTAATGTTTTCAGGTTGTAGTCATAAAGCATTGTCATGACTTGGCAGTCACGTAGTATGATTGACAATATTAATGGTTATCTCAATCTATTGTCAATGATTTCAGTATGCTTTCCTATCATTCGCTCAATTAGTGGACATCTTAAAACCTTGTCAGTCTAATTTTAGGTTCAGCGACACAATTACGCTTGCAGATCGTCAATATCGGCAGTCGAGCGAATCTCCTAGATATTGAAAACATCACAGTCGGAGTTACTTCAGCACTGATAAAAATTCGTGCCATTATTACAGGGGTAGGTTGGGAGTTGTACTTCCTTTAATTACAACTTATACTCTCTCTGATAATCACATGAGCAACACTCGCTGTTTATCATGTTGCAAAAATTTATTTAGCCGAAAGTACCGTACAATATCATGTCACCTTTATTTATGGCACATACATTTCGTCAATTTCAGCAACTTATAATCATTATGTTCCAAATAAGTCGATTTCTACCTTGAGCCAAGCACGATACTTACAACTAACTAGTAAACATCATCATCTGATAAGTATGAGTATAAATAATGAGTTTATTGCGCATCAAAACATTGAGTCTAGAGCAGGTCTCTCATGAGTCCACCCATATTTAACGAATTACTTTCATCAATCTGTTCGAATTTCACGTAATTATTTCTATTTTCACGTATTAAAAGGATCTTTGACAACCATTCACATGTATTAGAAGTCTTATTAAACCCTATCATAGTTAAACAATAATGAAGTCGTGAAAATCTCCCCAACAACTAAATAACCCGTAGTAAACTTAACAAACTAACTGAAACACTGTCCGGAATTCTTATCCTCCGGAGTTATGCATTTGTTCCTTCAATTAGCTTACTATTGCAGATGCAATTAGAAATCAACTCATACGGGCAGCATCCAAACATAAATGTTAACTGACCGTCTGATTTAAACCAAAGATAGTATCAATATAAAAATTTCTACAACGTTGATTATTTTTCTATTTTTCAACATAAAGTACTTCTACTGATCACAAGCTAAACTGAAGACCAACGGCTATCATCATGCATCTTAATGTGACTTGTTAAAATATCTGTATACCAAATCATTCTTCATCATTATAACTTATTCTACTTGATGTCTAAATAATGTTTACGTTGATTTTCATTTTAAGCTTCTTAAGCACTAAACAGAACATTTTGGGACTATTACACATTCTAAATCAGCTGCCGCCTCCTTCTTTTTGATTTATCTTTCAGCTTATCAATACCCGGAGGATTCTTATTATTCTTTTGGTAACCTCTGGTGCGCCAAAATCCTACTTGATTTGGCATCGAATCAACGTCACGTTGATTTTGGTGAAAGAATATTGCAGTGGTATTGGTTCCTAGCCACACGATTCTTGAAGCTGAACATATAATTACTAAGAAAACTGACATTCAATATGTAACACTTGGAAGGGATCGGTGATGTTGAACGTGGAAACAATAGTTTGAATTGACGTGGCTCGACCACGTTGCCGTGGTCATTATGTGTAAGTTATCACCACTCACGTTAAATTTATTGTTCTATCCGCAGCCATAATGTGTTCTTCAGAAGTGCGGAAGAGATGTTTATAATTTTATATCTCACCTATGTAATACCACACTGAGAGTACTGTATCCAAGCAGCTGGCCCATGTCTGATTAAGGATATTAACTCAGTCTAGCGTGTCTAGCGTGTGGGAACAAAATTAGTGAAGGGTCTTTCCAAACTCCTTTACGATGAGCGCTTAAAACACCTAAACCTTTCCCCTTGTCGTATCGTAGGACGCGAAGTGATCTTATATAGGCATTTAGCATCTTCAGTTAAAATTTGAATGTTCATATGTCGTATCTTTTTTCTCCCTCCAGCAGTGATGATCTCCGAGGTGATAGCAAGAAGGTTCATAAGCTGTTATCTAACAAACCTAAAGCGGGATTCCGTTTTACTCATGGAGTGGTCAATGATTGGAATGTTTCACCCAAACACAAGGTATCAGCCCCGTCAGTGAACCTTCATAAACAACCTACGATTGTTGTTACTGAAGACTGATGAAGAACCAGAGGCGATTTAATCACAGTTTTAAATTACTTAGTGATGAATTTGATTCTGATATGATCCCACATTTCTTTTCTTCTGAAGCATAAAATTTATGAGGACACCCTGGTGAAGTCCGAAAGTTCAGAAGAAGTTACTTGTCAACTGACTATCAACTTTCCCATAGAATAATCGACGAATGGAATTCATTATCGCGACATGAACAGAAGCTTCATCTGTCGACACTTTTGAAAATAGTTGAGTCAACTGAGAGACTACTATTGCCGAAACTAAAACAAGCCACCTAGCCTACTGTCCTTTAGAAATTGAGACTGAAATACAAAGGCACAATTTCTTGTTGGTAGGAAGCGCGGTATTTACGCTTCACGCTACTGGTGTGTTTCTAGCTCATTTGAAACCTTATTTTCACTAGTTGTGTCTCTCGGTAACTTATTGCCTAGCAATTCTCTATTTTACCGAGTTAGTTAATAGATAAGATTAAGGCTGCGATTTCGATATGTCCATGTTGAAATTTTTTCCGAAACCTTTAGACAATTGTAGAAATACCGTAGTATTTGGAAAACTCCTAAAATAGCCTTTAAAAAATTCGATACAAATAAGCTGGTCAGTAGGCGAAAAGTATGGACAACTTATAGTGCGAGCACAATCTCCCGACTTTGGGGAAAATTTCGTCAAGTTTGGGGGAATTTCAGAGCAAATGACGAAGAGCCATAAAGTTTCATATCACCTGTTGGTTTTCTGTTCGAACGGAAAACTTTTTTAAGGATGTTTCATTTTCGTATCATCAATATACTTCTCTGAATTGACGTTCCAGTAGTTTGTCTTGACCGTTTTATGGTCTTTAGGGCAAAACTATAATCCATGGACGAGCCAATCGCAAGCGTTTGAAGGGTTGCAAGGTCACAGCGTCAATTACAGTACATGATACTCACGTATGATCTGTTCACAGCAGATTCTATGGGAGACCTGACAAGCATCTACAATAAATGGGACTACTAAGAAGTTCCTTTGTTTGTAATTGCGACAATCATAGGACTTGAAAACCCAATGCAGACTACCGTTATGATGTCTTACGGTTTAATAAATTTTGGATGAAGAAGTATGGTAGAACAGGAGTTTTTTGCTCAATTCAAATTGACATTAAGGCAAATTATAATAATTGCCGCGAACTGTGTAATAAAAGCACCAGTAGCATTGGCTGCAATATTCGCAGATGTTACTAAAGCTTCGGCTGTTCAGTGGTATGAGTATTGTAGAGGTATGACAAGCTTACACAGTCAGAATGCACACAAACAATATTGAAGCTATGTGGTAGAGGTTGAAATAGTATTCGCAACCTTATCAAGGCTCCAGAGATCGACTATTATGTAGCCATATGGATGAGTTCCTCTACCGTATACATTACGATTTTAGAACCTTCGAACTCATTTCTAACCATGACAAGGTTTTGGGCCATGTAAAGGAAGTGTATCCATTTCGATTCTTTGGTTTTGCATAGTATATTTTTATTCTATACTAACTTTCCTGATTGGCTAGTGTTTCTCAAGGTCACTTAAGATTCGTTCAAGGGTCATCTTCAAGTTATCGTCTTGTTGTCTTCAGTTTGCCTCAGGTGAATATAGTTATGACGAAAATAATTTTGTTCCCAACTGACCCGAGCAACTCTTAAAATGGGATCGGACAAGTAAATCTGGTATTTGACTAATCAGAATGCAGGTGATATAAATCAGTAATTTACCAGATAAAAACCTGAAGAAGCCTAGGTTAAAATCGAAGTAAACGAGGGATTTGTAGATATGTGGATAAACATCTGCAGTTTGTTCTCCCACTTTAAGTATCGAGAACCTTGGATTTATTCTGATACAGTATATTTTCACCATCTCACATATCAGGCTGTTGCTTTTCTGTTTGCTATTGTTTGTCTTCAGGGCTTATTCATACGCCATCTGACTACTGCTTACTACATCAATCCGTAATTTTGAATTTTTTCCCGTTCGCTTTTTATTTGATGTTCTGCTATTGACAAGACTTTACTTTAGGAGAGTTAGTTTGGTTTAAATTCACTGAGGTAAACTTTATGACAAATGTTTTCTAAAGATCGGTATTGAATATGTAGCTTTTAGAAAGTGTTGTTTATATAACTATGTCAAGAATGTGAAAATGCATTATTACCATATATGTCTATTTATTCAATTTCAGTTCTTTATGGTATCCATTTTTATTTATTGGCCAGAATTTTCATAACATGCTTCTTAATTAAGAACCCACTGTGTCTAATGTCTTATCGTTAGAATACCCGTCCCTAAATCTGTGCCTGATTTTTGCTTTATGTACTTATTAGAATCTATTCCACACAATAATTGCTTATTAAACCACATTATGTTTACTAACTGCTGTTTATGACATTCTACTCGAGTCTTTAATCTCATGGCGTTACTTCCTTTTTAAGACTTCTCCATTCAATCTTGGATGGAAAACCGACGATCCCTAGAGTCTCTGACAGTTTTGGAGCTGGAAGAATTGCTCTCAAAGCAGCTTCACTTACGCGACCAGTATATTAAACAAGAACACTTGATTCATTTGTTTTAGTCTTCTTCCTAAGTTGCCTGATTCCGGTGAGAAACTAGTGAGTTCAATTGAAAAGATTCAGGCTATATTATCTGATAAGAAGGTACTGAAGTCTTAAACAGTCATACAGTGATTCTCTCCTATAGACTTGCATCCTCAATGATGATAAAAACCCTCCCATAGCGAATGAGACAAAGGTCACTCATGCATTATCAAAGTAATCTGTTATCTCATATGATTAAAGAAATGTGCTTCCAGTTTGACTTCAAATTATGACGGAAATGAATCAGAAAGTTGGACTAATAGAGATCCTAAAGAAGATTCCATTGATAGTTTATCAAATAATCTTTCCAATATATCTATTAGTTTACGTAAGTACTTGTATATTTTTAACCTTCATTTACACATTCTACTTATTTCTACTTTTAGTAAAGTCTTACTATGTGATGGCATCCAATCACTTGATTATCAACTTCCACAAACATAACATATTCTCTAGACCGTAAAAGTATAAAGTACTTCAAAAAACCCAGCTTATATCTGAGGTCACTCTTAGTGATTGGCCATTGAAAATTATCAAGAATTTCGTGTGAAGTGGTGGCTTGATTGCTAAGGGGTTTGATTGTTACTCGTCAAGTCGCAGGTTCGAGCCTCGTATCTAATTCGCCTTACGTAATCGGTTAATATCGTTAGCCCCCACACTTTGTGTGTTTCGTACCGAAGTATCCGGTGAATTAGTCAACCTAATTTCTGATTTCTCACTTCTGGACAGTTTCATGACTTATGATAATGGACCGATCAATGATATTAGTCTTCATGTAGGGAAAGCTAAAGCAATTCACATCAATCTTGATCATATTTGATACTATTTTGATCAAGTCTATTCATCCTTGTAAAATCTGGCCTCCAAAGTCATAAGTTTTACTATTAAGGTTTAATTTGATGGTTTTAAATAAATTAAGCACTGATTAATTTGTTTTTGATAATGAAATAATAATATATTTGTAGTATCCCAATAGACAGAAAATCCAAAACATATTCGGGTAAACTAAATTAACTTAATTGGTCTCCCAACTCAGTAGTACATGGGTCCACGTATCCGGCTGTTAGTTACATTTAATTCAGATGTGAACATAACACTCAGACTTCTCAAAAGAATTTTAAAAAACAATGACCTATACATCCACTTGAATTATAGTATATTTGTAATATCTAATTTGGATTACTGACCTGTGGTAGTGTAATTTGTTTCTTCATGGAATAAAAAACCAAATTAAATTAGAACAAGTTTAAATAGTACGAATTAAAAAATCAAAATATTTTATGTGTCGTAAACAAGTCTAATCGTGATAATGTTACTGTCATTCAGGTCAGAGGGGATTCTATGTGAGACGTGTGTGTATTCGTGTATATCTGAGTGGGTGTGAAAAAATGTGATCTTTGTAATGTGAAGGTTTAGCGTTACTTTGTATGTATGCTAATAGCATAAGGTTTGAACAGGTTAAGTGATGCCATTTGAAATAATGGTCCCAGTTCAATGAATAGTTAGTTCACGAGTGTGTGGATCTATGCGCAACTGAGTTAAAAAAATCAGTTAACGTAATTTAGTTTACCAAAATACATATACTGAGGGTTTCATCAGCTAAACTAGTTAGTATTTAATTGTAGTAGATCATGTGTAAATGTAAGTCATTCTAGATACAATTTTAGTCTAGTTTGGTCTTCATATCTTTTAATATTTAGGCTTCTATGATATATTATGTTATCGTATCTTAAAAGAATAGGTAGTCTAAATACAAGACTCATAAATTTCACCGTGATCTTCTAACAGCTTTCATTATCCTGTAAAAACTGATCTCTTTATTTTCATAATTTGTCAGCTCAATGCATGGCCCCGTTAAAATTTGAATAAGTTCCTCAAGATGAATGTGATTCGTAGTTTACATTTAATCACGGGCACATGTTTTATGATTGGTATTGTGAATATATTTTAAAACTTCCATTATAACATCCTTATCATTCAGTGGCTGATTTTTTGGAAAAATCCCTTGCACTTTGCTAGTTCCATATGTATTACTTCATTATATTATATTATTACAGCTTGTGATGGTACTACTTCTGATTCGAATGAAAAATATGATAATATTCCATTTTTATCTTACGAAGAGTATACTGGTATTAGACAATCATTAAATCTTCCATGCTCTTATATTTCAAGTTTGTTCCAATGGTTCACATTTTCATTTCGGTTCGTGGGGAATTTAGTATATTTATCTGTATTGGATTGTAGGTAAGCATTCGGTATAAAAATAATAATTAACTATTTTATCTGTGCTGCCTCGTTTTTCTTTTCTATTACTTTGTGTGCAGAACAGCATAACGTATTGATTACTGTGAACATTTAATTCACTCCCAACCTGCCAAAGCTCCCATGATAATTATGCTTCAACAAGGTCATGTGGGTTTTAAATCTACGAATTTATTTATTCGTCATAATTTGTATAATTGTCAGTATAAAAGGTGTCCGAGTTATGGTATTCTGGAGCTTATTTACAGTTAATTTATTTGAGAGCCTTACAAAACTAAACATTCATATTAATTGGTTCTTGACTCAAAGAATTCCGGGAAAGTAATACGAGTAACAACAAAAACATATTATTCACATATGACTTACATTTATAAAGCAGATTTAATTTATGAACCGAATTGTATCACCAAAATGAAGTTGGTACCTAGTATGAAGGGTTACCAAGAAACAGTTCAGTATATTGAGGAACCTGTTTGCTGTTGATTCCAGCATCTATTGGATTCATTGATCACAATCGTTTAGCTATTTAAATTACAACTGGAATATAACTAGCAGTTATCGGTTAGCTCTGATAGTGGCTTCTGTTAATACTATGGTCAACCTGATCCCCATTATCTGGCTAGGGATAATAAACATCAAATGAAATGTAATGTGCGACAATACGATTTTACTTCGTTTTTTTCATGTAGATGTGATGATCACCACATATCTAGAAAATTTAATGTTTATGTGCTTCCTTAACTCATTAACTAGACATCCCGAAATTTCTTTTGTTTGGTTTGAATTTGTTGACCATACACTTGTTTTCCACGGTATTCCCGGATAATTCATCGTTGTTTGTAGAACTCTCTGTGCCTTTCATGAGATACTCATTTGTGTTTTTTGACAGTCGTTTATTCGTCGATTTCAAGAAAATGAAAATGAATTCTCCATAAATGTGTTTTGAGGTACTTTGTCGGTCTTTATGAAGTACAGACACCTCGTAGGTAAATATGTGGATTAATAATCGCTGCATAAAATACAAGCATGTTTTCTACTAGGATTCTTACAAAAAGGAAGTATCGAGATTTCGCATTACATTATCAAGCAAGCGGCTTAATAAAAAGACTAATTTTTCACCAAAATAATCCCTACACATTTTAAACAAAATCTTCTATAGGCTCTACAGATATCATGAACTACTTTTCTTGTGCTTACTTCGTAGATTATAAATTGTGTTTATTTTCAAATTAAGCTCTGAGTCACACACTGTTTGGGTGCTTGAGATACTGTGTAGCTCAAAAGACCATTAGAAAACAATGATGCTGTGATCTGAAAATATCATCTTGTAGATTAAGTATTCAGCTCCCTATGGTTATTTCTCCCTCGAGAGTCAATCTTGAGAGCTGAACAGTATCTTCCTCATGCATTGATGGAGCTCTAAGTGTAGTTCACAGAAATTACAAGTTCAGAATCAACCATTCGTTGATCAATTTGAATTTCAATTGGTGTAAAAGGCATTCATCTGAAACAGAATCTCAGATCCATGTCAAGTTTCCTGACATAAATTCATTTTTAATTTATATCCTAAAATCTGTAGGCACTTTATCAACCCGATGCGCTTCAATTTGAGATACTGTAGTCTGGTTCACTTTTAATATTCTTATGGCGCGAGTTGGTCAAAAATATTCACCAATCGGAGAAAATATGTTAATTAGTTAGTAATTATTAAAGAATTATTTCTATTTATTTTAGCAATCCTAATCGAAGCCTTTTACGTGCTGGTCTTGTAAACACATGGTTTCCTGATATGAATTGTATTAACACAGTGAGTAAATTTATATGTACAAATAAGTAATATTTGCTATACTTATAAACACACTGACGGTTATAAAGTACACAAATAATATCGTATCATTGAAAATAAATTATTGACTCACAATTCCTTCTCAAAGTTTCATACAAGTTGGTTATTAATGTGTATTAAATTTTTTAATTTCTCGTTGCTCATTTGCTACACCGAATTCATCAATCTATGTTAGAATATTTGTTCATTATACGAGTATTTGATCGGAACCACACTAATTTCGTAAATACGACAAACAAAATATGTATAGTTGACGTTTGTTATGTGGCTTAAAATTGATTGGGTTATAACAGGTACATCTAATCTTTATTGTTTTAAATAAACAATAATATCCCAATATCTTTTCTTCTTTTACCTCTTAGTCCTTTACTACTATTAATGTTATTTTTTTTGATGAATTGGCTTACTACTATCTTGTTCATTTTTTTGGCTATATTGTTTGTGAAGTGTAACAACTTCAATCTTTACAGTGTTATACAAGATTCTCTTCTGTTTCCATCCGATTGTTTACTTACATAGTATTCATTTAGGAATTAAATAAACTTTCAGATCTGTTTAACTAATGTAGTTGTAATATGTGACCAGATTCTTTCCTAAATTGACATCACATTAAATGTTTTATCATAGGGAAATTTGTATCGCATATAGTTATATGCATTACATTACACTTAGTCCATGTTATGTTAAGTACTATTCTGTTTATTTCATTCAACAATACACAAGTAAGTTGTCGGCAATTATTATTTCCTTTGTAATTAAAGGTCATTTTAACCATCGGATTTTTATCTCAGCTTCTTGAAGTCCAATCACATTTCTGCATATATTTTTCTTACCTTGTTTGCAAAGTTCCCTATTACCAACATTTTTGAAAGCAAATTTTCTTTATTCGTTGATATTATTTATTGACAACGCTATTCATTTTCCCAACTATCAAGACAAGAATAATCAAACTCAGTTCTCGTGACAATTGAGTTTTTCTTAGTGAAATCACATTTTTACGATTTGCGATGGCCTATTGTAATCCCAAATTGCAAACAATTGGGAGATTGTAATATAAGACGGGATACCTGCAAACTAGTTGGACTGAACAACTAATGCACTGCAATACCTCAACATTAATATTCCGCACTCATAAGTAAGGAAAAAAGAGGAGATAGGAATTTCAGCATAGCTTTTATATCTTTAATAGAAAAACAATTATGTTTATATAGCGACAGTTATATATCCTTGAGGCATCTTAGTAGTAGCAAGATAAAGCAAAATTAATCAATCAGATAGCCGGAAAGCTTAGTGTAGAAACATGGATTGGAAAAAAGCCATCACGGTTATCCTAACGCATAAGATCTACCATTTCTTAACAAAAACATGTAACTTTAAGCCTTCATAGGACACATGAATATGACTCATTATTATAACCTATTTTTCCAAAAACCAAATGTCATTATAAGAATTTTAACTTTCTATTTTACACTCTTTTTTTAAAAAAAACTTAGAAATCCATGTTGAATGAGATACCATCGACAAAAGTATCACTTAGTCAACCAACACATGCATTGCATGATTTATGGTTATTTATATCAACAACCAGTGATAAAAATGAAGTTGCAGTATCTAATGCAAGGACCTATTGCCTTATATGTTACTCTTCAAATAATAACAATAATAATTCTAACAATTTCGATGATATAATTTATCTTAGTCGGTTAATACGTTCTACGCGTCATTCAAATATTGTTCGTTCAGCTCAGCCGCATGATTGTTACTTCTCTAATGCTTTTTATGCCTTAAATACAATAACTCTCAGTAATAATAATACTACTAATAATAATATTAGTAATAGTGAAATTGATAAAATTGTTCAATCTATGAATGATGTGGGAAAACCAGATGATCATTTGTCACAAAGTAAAACATCACTTACGCACATCAGTCAAAAATTTATTAAAGAATGTTATAAACTCTATGAATTGCTATTTGACAAGTTGCCTTCACCTTCGAATAACGATGAAAAGACAATAAATAATGTAGTATTACGGTATTTTTCAAATTCTTTAGAATATTTGAAGTTGTCCAAAGCTAAAACCATCATGTGGATGGAGGTAAACTACTTTTTTATTTGTTTAATATTTGAATTGTTTATAAATTCTGACCTTTCCGATTTCTTTGAGTTTCTTTTGTTTACAGAAGTATCCCCTGTAAATACGAAAAAATAGGGTTTGTTAACTTACTTACTTACTTACTCCTGTTACCCCTCGTCGAGGAGCATAGGCCGCTCACCAGCATTCTCCATCCAACTCTGTCCTGAGCCTTCCTTTCCAGTTCTTTCCAGTTACTATTTAGCCTTTTCATATCGGCTTCTATTTCCCGGCGTAGTGTGTTCTTTGGCCTTCCTCTTTTCCTCTTCCCTTCCGGATTCCAAGTTAGGGATTGAGTCGTGATGCACATTGGTGATTTTCTTAATGTATGTCCGATCCACTTCCAACGTCTTTTCCTAATTTTCTCTTCAGCTGGAAGTTGGTTTGTCCTCTCCCATAAAACGCTGTTGCTGATAGTATCCGGCCAGTGGATGTTGAGTATTTTGCGTAGACAACTGTTTATAAATACTTGTACCTTCCTGATGATGGCTGTAGTAGTTCTCCACGTTTCAGCTCCATACAGTAGGACTGTCTTGACGTTCGTATTGAAGATTCTGACCTTGAAATTAGTTGAGAGCTGTTTTGAGTTCCATATGTTCTTCAATTGTAGAAATGTTGCCCTTGCTTTGCCAATCCTCGCCTTTACATCTGCATCCGATCCTCCTTGTTTATCAACGATGTTCCCCAGGTACTTGAATGTTTCCACCTCTTCCAGAGTTTCGCCGTCAAGTGTGATTGGGTTGGTGTTCTCCGTGTTGCATTTGAGAATCTTGCTTTTTCCTTTGTGAATGTTTAGACCTATCGATGCGGAGGCTGCTGCTACATTTGCTGTCTTCATCTGCATTTGGTCGTGTGTATGAGAGAGGAGGGCTAGGTCATCTGCGAAGTCCAAATCATCTAATTGATTCTGAGCTGTCCATTGTATTCCGTATTTCCCTTCAGATGTCGAATTCTTCATAATCCAGTCAATCACTAGAAGGAAGAGAAATGGGGAGAGTAGACAGCCTTGTCTGACTCCGGTCCTTACAGGAAATGCATCTGTCAGCTGACCTCCATGCACCACTTTGCACTGTAATCCATCGTATGAGTTTTGGATAATGTTGACAATCTTTTCAGGAACTCCATAGTGTCGAAAAAGTTTCCATAATGTTCTCCTGTCCACGCTGTCAAACGCCTTCTCATAGTCAATAAAGTTGACTTATAGTGATGAGTCCCACTCAACTGATTGTTCGACGATGATCCGTAGTGTCGCAATCTGGTCTGTGCACGACCGATCCTTACGGAATCCAGCCTGATGATCCCTTAGTTCGGCGTCTACTGCGTCTTTCATCCGATTCAGCAGCACTCTGTTGAAAACTTTTCCTGGTACTGATAACAAACTGATACCTCTGTAGTTCTCGCATCTGCTCAGATCTCCTTTCTTTGGTATCTTGATGAGATATCCTTCTTTCCAGTCCGTTGGCACTTGTTCCTCTTCCCAAATCTTTTTGAATAGAAGGTGAAGCATGTTTGCAGTTATTTCAATGTCTGACTTCAGTGCTTCTGCTTTTGTTAACTTAAACACATAAATATTCTTATAATTGTTTCATTTCACTTGTTTGCAGTGAACTGTAAAGTTTTAATTGTCTGTTAGATTCGGCTAACAGCGTTTTCTGCGATTGTATATATATTTATCTACTTATACTCAGCACTATTGATTCTTACTTATTTTAATTCAAATAAGCTTCATTATCGACTTCCACTAAGAACCTGGAAACATATTTGAACTGTTTCTGTCTACCTTAAAACTCTTCAGTAATGGACGCTTACGAATTCCTATGGGATTTAGTAAAGGATCTTCAAGCATCGCTACAAGCATTGTACGCTGGACTACTAAGTCATAGTCTCATCTTCAGCCTGTTCGTCATTTATAACGATCCTTAAGCAATGTCATCGTCCAGTAACTACATCATTTTCTACTTAGTTGATTCCAGAGGTTACAGTTTCCTGTTAGAATCTAAGGAAACTCATATGGTAGCCAATCATTAGTGAGGACACATTGAACCGTTTGATTCTGATTCTATGATCTAACAGTATTATATCGTCCATACGACGTTAAGGTTGTTTGTCTGACCCCAAATATGGCGTTGTGTTGTGGCGCTTTTGAGAATTTCCCAGCTACGGAGAAGCAGTTGTCATATTCTTTGGTTCTCAATAGTCATATAGCTGGTATCTTTGTTTCTCTGGTCTTGTTGATGAAGTCAGTCGAGTGATTACTAAAAATAACTAAAACATTTAAGAAAAACTATCTGGGAAACAAGGTTCCACTATTTATTTGTGGTAATAACATGGACTGTATTCATTTACTGAACTGAGTTTGAAGCTATCACAACCAAAACACCCTGATATTCAAATCTAAAGTCTGAGATATTGCTGTATCCACTAGTTTTCATTGAAATGTTTACAATGCAAGACTAAATCGTTTATTTCAATGGGTATGTTTATCAGCATTGTTTCATACTTATCTAAATTTTTATACACTTTTGACAGGCACCTATTGAGCTATATCTTTTGCGTAAACTTAAAACTGCTTGCAATATTATGGCGAATAAATCTACTTTGGCTTCAACAAATAATAAAGTCAATGATTTTAATAAAATACCTGACAATATTTTACGCCGATTAGCCCTTGTTGGTTTAGGTCGAACTCGTTTAACCCGTTTAGCTGGTCTAGGCGGTTGGAAACAATTTGCTGGATTTTTATCTTATCATCCGTCGTCGTCATCATCGATTTCAGGAAATTCCAAGATTACTAGTCACACAAATGAAGAAGCGGATATGGTCAGAAATGCTTTCGTCACTGATGATCTAGAAACTATTCGTATACTTTATATTTATTTTCGTGATGTTTACAAGTAAGATAGTGTTTACTAATATTTTTCAATATTCGGAATTGTTTTTAACTAACTCAGTCGGAGTTGTATGCTTTCAGATACTGTGGTATGTAGGAGATTGGCTGGAAAGTGTTCTCTTATTAGGTTGAAATTTATTCGGTTTATCTTGGCAATTATTCATTCTCTACTAGTTGGTTGACCGTTAATTACTTCCATTGTATAGGAGTTATTTGAATGAAAATTAGTCTGGATTTAATACAATAGCTTCATTCTAAATTAATGTTGGCATTTGATAACATTGAAACTGTATATTGGTTATCATTGGTTTATATTGTTGAGTCACAGTCTCTAGGACTTCATAATTTATCAAACTTATCACATTTAAATATAGTTTTATTCATATTTATAATAATGCCTAATTGTGTGAAATCTATTGTTTATCTTGGCGAATTATCATTTTTTACTCCATTTACCTACACCCTATGCTTCCGTTTTTATTTAGCCCATACAGTTATCATGGTGGAAAGATTTGTTTTAAATACCTCGAATAGATACTTCTCTAAAACCATCTTCTGCTACAAAACGTGATACGATCATTTTAAACTCATTCATTCTGTTCACTTTTTCTACTAGTTGTTATTGTTGTTTCTTTTTCTAACTAGACATCTTGATCGTCATGAAAGATGTTGTTTAGAAAATAACAGTAATCATCATAATAAACTAATGAAGTCATTCCCATCGACCAAGTTATCTGGTAAACAGCATCATCCATTTTTATTGTCCTACTTAGATTATCATTGTGATAATGATAATGCCGAATTTAGTGATGTTACTAATAAACATGATAAAAAATATAAATTAAGTGATAAAATTCAGGCATGGATATCTTCTGGTAATCAATTATTTGATCCACTTGGGCATCGTCAATTATGCCCACTCAATATAAATCAATCAATAAACCTAATGAAAAGTGTACAAGCAAAATATGAAGTAAGACATCAGATTTGTTTTATTTTAATAATATGTATATAACTCCCCCTGGAACCTGAATAAAGGAGAAGGAGTGCTCATAAACATAGATTTATTTATTAATTCTAGGTAGCGATAAACCAATGCTGCAATTTTTCTTTATTGGTTTAAACACTTGATTTAACAAATAAACGCCAATTATACGGTCTATATCTCCTAGTTCAGTATTTGAACATTTGGATAATCTCTTTAGTCTTAACAATGACAAGTATAATTAATGGCTTATCATACAAACTTTTATATATTTACGTAGTTTCAGTAAACATAGAGAACGTGGTATCAACCGAGTACTGAGAGAAACGTCACACATACTAAGTAAAGTTCTTGTCCATTGAACTGGATATCCGTCGTTGGACATTCATTTAGAAAACAACGTATTTATTAGATATTAGATTGTTCCTCATATCTGTTGTAGCATTTTGAGTTGCAGTTATTAGATAGTCCATAGGAAGTGTTTTAATTTTTAGCTTTCCGTAATCTGCAGGCATCCTTAGTCAACCGTTATTCACCTGTGTATCAAACGGGTGGGATATCTTAGTTTCCTTCTTGAATCGTAAGACAGCTATTCTCTGCCATCTGATTTTATGTGTTGGTCTGTTATATCATGTGTCCGAGTGGATGCCTAGTTGATGTGTGGCTTGATGAGACCGCCAATTAGAGAGCAGCGAATTATCGATTGGAATAGTGACACGAAACCGTGCGAGCAGTCTAGAGTGCTAACCGGTCCTGCGATCTGCCTTTCCCAGCCAGTTAAGTCCAAAACACCAATAACAGCCTCGGTAATATGAATCATTATTTACAAACACACTGGGTTTATATACAAACCAAAGTAATCAATAAACTGATTCTAACTCAAGAATCGTATGATAATAAGTCAATTTCAAAATAAAGCTAATGATAAGAGAAATACGAGTATGAATAGTTCAGTTACGTAATAATTGTACAATAGGAAATAGGCATATTACATTGATCCATAAATAGTCAGTCAGCGACAACGTAGGACCAGGCACATATATGCATCGGTCCAAGTTGCCATACCTCGTTAGCACTACAAGATGAACACCGGATTCATAGAAGTAATTAATTTAGTGGTGGTAGTATATAAAGAAAGGTTGTATATAAGGATATAGTATAGGAAGGAAAAAAGTTATGAAGCAATTTTAATCTCAAGGTTTTAGGGAAGATAAAGAGTGTATACACCTACGCCATTGTGATCGATTCTGAGCCATGTCACCCAGAGTCTCCAACCATTGGTTACGATAGTCACGCGGACTTCAAGCTCTGATGCCACGTTTTGGTTTGGCCGCCCCTAACTCCCTTCCAACCATCCCCTACACTAGTCAACATTGCGCGTCGTGGTAATCGGTGTTCAAGCATACGTAACACGTGGCCCAACCATCTCAGTCTATGAAGATTCATGACCTCATCAACTGATTTACCATCATTCCCTAATACCCTGCGTCTAACCTCACTATTACTTACCCGGTGATCACAGCGGATGCGAGCAATATTTCTAAGGCATAAATAGACCTAAAAGTTACCATTCGTAATTCACCGGGGGATATAACATGGTCACTAAAAGTTTACGTATCAGTAAATGTCTTGTAAAATTCTTAATTTCATTTCAGTCCTACTTCATAATTTCTCTAACCATCTACGATTATAACAACAGCGAGATTGGAAAAAATGTTGATCAAACCGTGCAGGTCACCCTAATGCGACCATCAGACACATAAAAAGAAAGTCTTCTAAAGGATTTTATCAAGAACAGCGATTGTTACAGTTACGAAAAGTCATTTCCGAGAAGTCGTAACGTGTCCTAACATCTTAAGCTTATCCTGGTGTACAGACTGATACCTTTTAATACTGGCACATGTACATACCTTAAAACTAATTTTGTTTGAGTTGTAAACAATTAACAGTTTCGTTCATTTTAGTAAACAGAAATGGTCACCGTGCTTACACTAGATACGATAATCAAGAGTCATTTGTCTGTTAAAGAAAGGGATATAAAATATGCACTATATCCTCGTTCACATCTGTCTTCTTCGAAGGTCATTGATATGAGAAGCTTGCTAGTATTTGATAACCTATATTTTCGCTTTATCGCTTAACTGATAAAATCGCTAGCTAAGCAATAGTAAGATTGTTTCTATTTTTTCGACAGAAAAAAGTGAACCGATAATTTATTTGTAAATTTGCATTCAGTATAAATGACGTCTAGAGCCGACAAGCGGAAATACTTGGAATACCTAACAGTGGCAGAAGAAAAAGCTGCAAGAGAAGGAAATATGAAACAACTATCTATATGACACAAAGAAGAAACTAGCAGGGAAATATGGTAGACCAGAGACCAGTCAAAAACAAAGAAGGCAAACCAATCCTGAGATTCATGAACAGAGGAACGGATGAGTAGAACTCTTGAATATACCAGCTCTATTGAATCTAGTGGACATCAGAGCAGCACTTAGAGATCAACCTACAGATGTCACTCCAACAATGATCGGAGAAATCAGGATGGCCATCAAATAAATCAAGAGTGGGAATACAACAGGGCCTGATAATATATCTTACCTGAAGCATTTAAGTCAGATATACAAGCAACTGCAAACATTTTCCATACTCTGTTCAGGAAGACGTGGGAAAAGAACAAAGGCCGACAGACTAGAAAAAGGATGCCTTATCTGGATACCAATGAAAGATCTGAGAAAACGTGAAAACTACAGAGGCATCACACCACTGTCTGTACCAGGGAAAGTTTTCAATAGAGTATTGCTGAACCGAATGAAAGATTCAGTAGACGCCGAACTTGGGGATCAACAGACCTGATTTCGTAAGGATCGATCGTGCACGGACTGAATCGTGACACTACGGAACATTGTTGAATAGTAAATTGGATGGAATTCACCACCATACATCAACTTCCTTGACTATGAGTAAGCGTTTGATAGTGTGGACAGGAGGACATTATGGAAACTTCTTCGACACTATGATGTACCTAAGAAGATCGTCAACATCATACAGAATTCATACGACGGATTACACTGCAAGATAGTGCTTGAAGGATAGCTGACAAATGCATTTCATATGTAGACTGGTGTCACACAAGGCTGCTTGCTCCTGTCTTTTTATCTTTTATCTAGTGGTTGGACAGATTATGGAAGCACGGAATACAATGGACAGCTTGTGTGCAACCAGACGATTTAGACTACGCAGATGACCTTGCTCTTTTATCCCATACATACCAATAAATGCAGATGAAGACCACCAGCGTAGCAGCAGCCTTTGCAGCAAAAGGCCTCAACATAAAAAAGGACAAAACAAGGTCCTGAAATATAACATGAAGAGCACCAACGCAATCACACTTGATGGAGGAACTCTGGAAGAGGTGGAAACTTTCACGTACCTGGACAGCATCATCGATGAACGAGAAGGATCCGATGTGGACGTAAAGGCAAGGATTGGGAAAGCAAGGGCGGCATTCCTACAGTTAAATAACATATGGAACTCAAAACAACTGTCAGCCAATATCAAAGCCAGAATCTTCAATACGAACTTCAAAACGGTTCTACTGTACGGAGCTGGAACTTGGGGAACTATCACAGCCCACAAAAAAGTACAAGTATTCATAAATTTTTGTCTACGCAAGATACTCCAGATCTGTTGGCCTGATACTATCTGCAACAACCTACTACTGTAGGGGAGACCTTGATAGAACATACATTTTGGAAGTCATCAAACTGCATCACGAGGCAAGTGCTAACTTGGAATCGTAAAGGGAAAAAGAGAAGATTAAGACCAAAGAACACACTGTGCCGAGAACTGGAAGCAGATATGAAAAGGATGAATGGCAGCTGGAAACAACTGGAAAGGATTACTCAGTACAGAGTTGAATGAAGAATGCTGGTGTATGGCCTATGCTCCTCGACGAGGGGTGACAGGCTTAATTAAGTATAAATGACGTTAAAATGTGGTTTGTTAGATAATAGTTGTGTATTATTTTTTATCCTCTTATATGACCTTTATTATTTTTATTTAGAAATCTCGAATCAAATTTAAATTACCGCCTTATCCTAGTATGCCGGCAGAACCAATCAATTTGAATCGGTAAGTTTTTTTTCTACTTTTAAATTCGAACTAATATTATGTGATCCGTTATAGAAGCTAGGAAAATATCCAAAAGAACTGTCTATTTTAAGCAGTGAGAATGATTCAATCACTATTTGTAACAAGATTCTTGCCATTTTAGCCTACTTGGCCTACCTGAAAATTATTTTAGTTGATTATATATGCATATAATTTTATTTGGACATACGTTTGTCATGTACTAACGTACGGTACATGATTTAAGTCTAAATCGAGTTGTGCTATTATTACTTATCTCAAGGTTTGTATTTTTGAACTGTAGGTTCCTATTCCATTTCATCTACTAAATTTTGAGGAATTAAGTGGTTTCATTGTCCCTTATATAAAATAGTTGAAATCATTCTGCATAAAAATATCTAGTTAGTGGAATTCACTTTTTAATCTTGATTCTTTGTATGTTATATAACATCAATTTTTGTGCAATATTTGCCTTTTTAGAACAATATTTACCCCATTAAATAATGTAATGGTCTAAGAGTTTTGTTGTGCCGTTTATTACATGTCTATAATATTTCAATACACAAACATTTCATCATTCAGTAGAGGAAAATAAGGAATGTAATGCTTACATAAAATAGAGGAGCAAATAATCCAAACTTCTAGCTATGATGGTTCTTTCTAGCACCAGATTATCGGTTGACTCTTAACCGCTTACATTCAGTCTTACGACTTCATGGTATTTTCCTGAATTGTCTTTGAAATTGGATTCATGAACCATTTATTTTTCGTTATATGACAGGCCAACGGAAAGGCGTTTTTAGTTTATATACTATTGCTAGCTGATGAGTCCTAACTATTGAAACTACATATTATACAAATATTAAGCAGTTCTTATTGTTCTATAAAGTCACTCTTTATATCTTGATAATATTATTTCTTTATTCCCTGTAGTTACCGTGATCCATCACTTCTGTTGTTGGAGGAAATGGACTCTTCGTCATCGTCACTCTCCACATCTTCATCAGATCCAGAAAATTCTGATACAGATAATGACTCACTTGGACTTGAAGATGTTGATTGAAACGTTAAGATTATTTTGTTGTTTTTTTCATATGATTTATTGTAAATATGTTATTTTCGATAGTTTCAAGGAATCAATTAAATTTTAACTTTATTACTTCATTGATCTATCTTCTTTTTATTAATTCTCTGTTAAGAGTATTTAACTGTCTGATCAATTTTCGTTCTGAAGACACAACTTTGTGGCTGCTCATTTTGAAAGCTATTTCAGGTGTTATCTTTCAGCCGATGTTATCTGTTGGTGGGAGTACGAGTTGTGATTTCATCTCAGCACTCCCCATTCCGCTGTCCTAGTGTCTTGAATACCTCCTGCAAACAAGCCCTCTCTTCTTCCATTGACTCATATCTACTCGTTCAATTAGTCGATTGAAGGCTAAATATTGGAAATCTTACCCTTCAAGCATATGCACTCTATAACACACCTTCATGTAAGTCTAAAACAATGGTGGGCTAGTGACTTTTTGAGCGCTATAAACATCATTGTCAATAAAGATAAAATATTACAACCATCGACTATTGTTTGGTTGTATCTAACTGCCTTTAGTTAGTGCATAAATATTGGCTCTTTATTAACTCACGTATGTTCGCTGTGGAAAAATACGAAAGGATTGTGGAGGTTATACAAATCTGAGTAAAACTTCTATTAATTGTTCTCGCATTTCTTTGACTGTCGTGTGGCCGTCTTTGTTGACACTTATGCTGTTTTATCTAGTTGTCAATTGTTATTGAAATTAAGTATATAATTAATCAGCTTTGTTGTCACAGAGTTGAGACAGTCTATACTTAATCTCCTTACTCCATGTATCCCGCAATTATCTCATTCGTAAGGATGATAGTGACACCCAGTTGTAAGTCTCTTTCATCTTATTAACTATCAGTTCCTGGTTATGATCTTGTGGAGATACTTGCTATATTTATAAGTATAAACAAATGGATTAACTACCTTGAGTTTAACTGAAATTCACAGTCGTAGTATTAAGTGCGAATCTTCTGCTGCAGAAATCAACACGGCAATTATTCGTTCGGGTAGAATATAAAGTAATGTCAGTGGGCATTCAGAAATGAAAATCTTGTTCCTAGTTATAATCCAAAACACATTACTTACAACGGTTAGAATTGTTTATGTTTGTATACTATGAATTTGTATATTGTTCAAAAACAATTTAACGCAGAGTTGCCTCAACCCTCACTTACTAAACAACTAACATATCCTTGTTGATCAGCATTATTTGGGGGTGACAAATCATATGTTAAGGGTTTTTAAGGCTCATTTTTTGTAGAAAAATTTTTGATTATAGTCTATCTAGGACTTTACAAATAGCGCATTACACTTGCTTGAATTCAGAATGATACAAGTAACCACACTAAAATAGAGTTAAGATTCTCTCAGTTAGTGAACAACAACGTCAAACTTCTAATAAACTGGCATAAAAGCTTTGTAAGAAGCACAGAGATTACGAAAATCGACATGTGACATCAAAAATGCTGTTAACAGTTTATAAATAAGGGCATCAAAAACTTTCTATAACATGCAAAATGTTCACAAAAGCCCATAGCGGCGAGAATATAATTGTGGATGGGCCTATTAGATTTAGGATAGAAAGTTTCGGATTTTGACGCGAAATTAATTTATTTCGCTAAATAGCGTTTCGGCATTTAAGCTGATGTCAGTTCATGACGAGGACTCTAAGTCTAACTTCCAATCTTAACCATCAACCGTGAATCATAATTCTAATTCCTCACACTGGATTATAACCCTCATTTAGTCTTAGTTATTAGATGGCCATTCCGTTAGCGTCCCTCAAAGGCCGTCCATAAATTATAGTCTCACGATCTTACTTAGTATCCGGTTCATAACTAATGGATATCTGAAGAGCACACAGTCTCGATTTGTTCACGGGAATAACCTGACTGTTGCAGTAGAGCTGGTTCCCCCAGTACATGAGACAAAGGACTCTGACAATATCACTTTCGATCAACGACTTTCAGTACATACGTGCAACGTACATCCTTTAGCATCTTGTGAGGTTCAGAGTTGACCAAGGCAAATTTTCTTTGCAGTGTTTGTAAGAATGACCATGTAAAGTAATAGTACAAGTCGGAAAATACTTTTTAGCTGATAGGTGCGGGGACATCTATGACAATGAATGGGATTAAAGCTGATGATTGGAGAAAGGTAAAAATGATATTGCAAAGTGCATGAGAAGCGTTAAAAAAGAGCGATAAAATGTGTCCATACATGATCCGATATTGAAACTGCGAGTGTTCATCTAGCAAGTGATCCTGTGTTGGTATTGGTTCCCAACCACACCTTCCTCGAAACGAGACACGTAATTACTCAGAAGATTCACTTTCTACATGTAACACCAAGAGAGGATCAAGAATGGTGAACGCGGGAAGATTCATTCAATCTGCTGACATGACTCAGCCTTTTAGACGTGGTCATTCCGTATAAAGTTTCTTTACTCATAATAAATATATATGATTCTATCTTTAGCCTAAATGTGTTCTTCAAACACGCTTGATGTTATATTGCTGATTCTTATGATGTGACAATTCGGGGTACACAACGATGGAACTGACACGTAAGATCTCATAGATTTGTTAGTCACACGATGACGAATCTACAATTTTGGGATTAGGCCTATCATCATAGCAGTGCTAGTAACGAACTTGAGCCATAATTTTACACTCCCTTTGATAAAAATCTTACAGATTCCGGATACGAAATGTTGGTGGATACTGGATTTCAAATGCACCAGAGAATTAAGCCAGAAGGAAGCAGCTATTCACATTCGAATAGAGACGAAGTTGGTCAGTATTCAATGGACTGTAAACGAACGAAACATACACATTTTTTAGAAGTTTGATCAAAACGTTTGGGATACATAGAAATAGGGCTAAAACATTTGTGCACCTGTCATTTTTTACATACCCTATTAGCTAAATGCTCCTGGTCAAATACCATAGCAATACCCTGACGCCTCTGTCGAGCAAACTCATCTTATTCCCTAGATTAACAACTCAATAGTCGGGCGTCTCTTCCATTTAGTATTATATTCCAACATATTGTTTCCGGGATCTATCATAGCTATTCTATTTTACATTTCTTTGGAATATCATTTTTGGGGTTCCTGAAAATCAGCATTGTCTGAACCAGTTATTTCTGCAGTATCATAAATGCCTTAGTGGTTATAAACCCATTATGTAGGACCAGTGAGCTAATACTGAAATCTAGGAGAAAGCGAAAATATCTCTACTCAGTAGGCGTCCCACTGAATGTTAATTGATTAACTGAATTTCTACAAGGTCACGTGTAGTCAAACTGGAGAGTTCTTGAGGGACGTAATTTCAACTAAGGATTACGCATGTAAAGCAGTCATTATTCCTGTCCAACTCAAGTATATAAAGACTAATAATCCGACGACATAAGAAAAACCATTCTGTAGATCATTGTTTGAAATCTAAGTTTGTAGGTTAGGCTTAAATCTAAAGAGCCTATCACTAATTTTCTGTAGTAAACTTCAGTTTTCTCAGATGGTTATACATAATCTTGTTGATTAGTTTTCAAATGCAAGTTTATCATCAGACTAATCAGTGTATATGTTACACTATATTCGAGACAATACTCTTATTTATGGTGTCATGGTAGGTATGTTTACGACCAAATCTAAGATCAGAAAACAACTTAACTGACCTTTCACCGAAAGATGAAACTTAAATGAACAAGCTGCAGCATAAAGTGCGGATTAGTTTAATGACAATTGCAATTTCTAACAATTTATATTCGGGGATAATTTTTCGGCAACAAATTATTATTATTTTATATATTTATCCTCAACATTTTCTTTGTTTCAGGCTGTTTGTGATTGAGGACGAAGCAGTCATTAAGTGACGCTGAAGTTGTTCTCTTACGCTTGCTACTCAAAATCATATCTTCGGTTGCTATTCGATTAAAATAATCTATAAAATTATAACTCAGACTTTTAAATTATTACCTAGTGGTTGGCGTCAGATGAGATAAAAGATTATGAAAAGACAGGTAATAAAAGATATCGTGACTAGCGTTTATTGACCCTTGACTCTCTTTTGATGCACTTCCTATCTTAATTAACAGTCTCCCTTATCTTTACTTATAATTCCCTCTCATCATTTGAACCCATCCCACCTTGTTACCTTGTTACATATCACCATCTATTCCACTGTTAGGCATTCTTTCGGGTTTATATTCAAATGCTTTACTGTTCCTTTATCTCAGTTTTTCAGTATCAAGTACTTATTTCACAGCTTTAGAGCCTCGTTATCCTAAAGCAAAGTACTCACTTTTGAAGGTCACAGCCCATATCAAGCACCATTTACTTTATGCCGACTATAAATTTCTTGAGAAGTTGTATTGCAGAAATATCTAGCAGGACCAGAATCCCAACACAACAATGCCAAGTTTAAATATGATGTACGTTTCTCATAGTCGCAACGAGGCCGCGATGCCATTTTGAAAACAGGTCATAGAAACTGTGCTCACAGTGTAATGTAGCTGTAAATAATTCCCCAAAATCAATAGCTCATTAAGTGTTCGACATTGGATGCTGACCACGTTGTTTAAGTGGACTTGTTTAGCTGAAGGCTTTCGGTCATGCATCCGCACCAGATCACGTTTCAATACTGCGTGGGACACAGCTCCTACGTTTCATTAGCCAGCTCATAGAAAAGGTCCTCGATATATTGGTAACGAATCAAATATATCTTTCCTGCCTCTTCTCGTTTGACTTCTGATTTTCTATCTGACTGGTAACAACCGAATTTAGAAGGTGCTACTGGTATCTAGTTGTAAAACTAGAATATCCGTTGCATCATCATTGGTGAACCCGACGTGATCTGGTACACCAAGTCAATATACTGTGAGTCTGTTCCATTTTGGAACATTATTATTCATTGTTATTCTTTATTTGAATTTTATATATTGTGATATACTTTTTTCGCGAATTTTTTTTCTCGGATATATTTTACTTAGACATTTTTCGATATCTATATTACTATGACGGAACACTCTCCTAAGGTTCTTAAGTTAAAGTCTATTCCCCCTATTTCGATTCAGTTAACGCCATTTTGGCCCGACAATATCGAGTCCTGGTTCTGCTATGCAGAAGCCGATTTTTGCATGCACGGAATCACGGACTCGCGCACACGTTTCCTCGCGGTAGTTAAGGCGTTACCGCGCGAGTTTAACAGGTACGTAACACCTAGTATGTTTACTAGTGATGTTTCCGAACCTTACGAATCGCTTAAGCTATCGATTTTAAAACGAGGAGACCTAACTGATCGACAACGGTTAGACCAACTCCTTAACAATATCGACTTGCAACATGGTTCTGCGACGGACATGTTGCTTAGAATGAAAGAAGTCATCGGCCAACGAACTTTCGATGATGGCCTATTTAGACAACTTTTCTTGTCTAAACTCCCTCAACAGGTGCAGGCAGTGCTTGTCTCATTTCAAAACAATTGCATAGATGAACTAGCTGCATCTGCCGATCGAATCTTGGAAATCACTAGATCTTCTAAGGCCGAGGTATTTTCCGTCAAAGAAAAACCCCAATCGACCTCGACTGACATGGCCGAACTATGTCACACGCTTACACGATATCTTAGAGTTCGCAATGACCGTAGTCGGTCAAAAACCCCGCGTAGAAGTGCCTCACGTAAGCGATCTGGCTCTCGACCACGAGAGACAGACAATCCCGACTGGTGTTGGTATCATAACCAGTACGGTAAGTTTTCCAGAAACTGCAGGAAACCTTGCAATTATCCGACCCCGAAATCGAGTGACACGAAAAACAGTTCGGGAAACTTCCCAGCCGGCACGCGTTAACGGCAACCGTAGCCGGCGAACACAGCCGCCTCTTATATGTCACGGATGTGACTACGAAAGTTCGCTACCTCGTCGACACTGGCGCAGAAGTTAGCGTTCTTCCAGCAAATCTCGACGACAGACTTCGCGAGTCTGTTTTAAGTTTACAGGCGGCAAACGGAAAGCCGATCGCTACTTACGGTAAAAGGTACGTCTACCTTAACGTGGGTTTACGTAAACCCATACACTGGATTTTCGTGGTTGCAGATGTCTCTATGCCAATCATTGGTATTGACCTGTTACAACACCACAATCTACTCATCGACACACGCTCACGAAGGTTAATAGACGGAAACACTAAGTTGTCCGTTTGCGTAACTCCTTGTTCTGGTTGCAGGTTATCCCCAGTCACGATTAAGCACGACATAGACCCCTTGTACCAAGCAGTACTTGACAAATACCCCGGGATATACCAATCGCAATCGAAATTACCTTGTGTAACCAGCAATGTTACACATCACATCTCGACTACAGGACCACTTGTATTTTCGAAAGCCCGAAGACTCGCTCCCGAAAAACTTAGGTTAGCTAAAAACGAATTCAACCACATGATGGACCTAGGAATAATTCGACCATCGAATAGTCCATGGGCATCCCCATTGCATATGGTCCCTAAAAAGGACAGCAATGATTGGCGGCCAACTGGTGATTATCGGCGTCTGAATGCTAAAACCATTCCCGATCGTTACCCGCTGCCTCATATTCACGATTTGACAGCTACCTTGAAAGGTACAACTGTCTTTTCGAAAATCGACTTGGTTAAAGCTTATAACCAAATCCCGATGGCAACTGACGACATTCCTAAAACCGCCATCATCACTCCCTTCGGTCTTTACGAATTTCTACGAATGCCCTTTGGTTTAAGAAACGCGGCTCAAACCTTCCAAAGGTTTATAGACGACGTCTTCCGAGGTCTCAACTTCGTACATGCGTATGTTGATGACTGTCTAATAGCAAGTCCGGACAGAGAATCGCATCTCAAGCATCTGGACATTGTTTTCGATCGACTTCAAAGGCATGGCATTACTGTCAACATTCAGAAATGCCAAATCGGAACTAACTGCTTAGACTTCTTAGGACACACCATTGATGCCCAAGGCATCCGACCCCTTAGGAGCAAAGTGGCGGCCATTCTGGATTACCCAGAACCGACCACGATCAAGCAGTTGCGAACTTTTAACGGACTCGTAAGTTTCTATAGACGGTTCATACCTAAATGCGCATCCCTAATGAAACCGTTGACCGATCAGCTTCGTGGAAATGCGAAATCAATTAGTTTAGACGACACAGCCCGTAAAGCATTTTCCACAGTTAAGGAACACATCGCTAAAGCAACCTTGCTTGCTCATCAGGACAGTCAAGCGCCCATTAGTATCGCCGTAGACGCATCCGACTCAGCAATCGGAGCAGTCTTACAACAATGGGTTAACAACTCGTGGCAACCTTTAGGATTTTTCTCGAGACGGTTGCTAGACGCTGAATCTAGGTACAGCACGTTCGGTAGGGAACTCCTAGCTATGTATTGTGCTGTACGGCATTTTCAACATTCCATCGAAGGAAGAGAATTCACGCTCTTTACCGATCACAAACCTCTTACCTTCTCTTTAAGTTCATCTTCAGACAAGTACTCACCAAGAGAGTCTCGACAACTCGACTACATTTCGCAGTTTACTTCAGACATACAACATATTTCTGGAGCAAACAATGTAGTCGCAGACGCCTTGTCTCGAATTAGCTCCTTGAACAGTTTCCAAGGAATCGACCTTCTTAAACTCGCTCAGCTTCAAAAAGAAGACATTGATCTTCAGCATGAGTTATCCTCGACAACTCTTAAACTAAGTATTAGGCAGATGGGAACAGGTAAGGAAACCTTACTCTGTGACACATCTACAGGTAGGGATCGTCCAATTGTACCAAAACACTATCGCCGCAACGTCTTCAATACGTTGCACAATCTTTCTCATCCAGGTGCTCGTGCAACAATCGAACTTATAGCCGAACGCTTTTGTTGGCCTGGCATGAATAAAGACGTGAGGGAGTGGTCACGCTCCTGTGTAAGCTGTCAGAAATCTAAGGTAATCAGACACAACAAATGTCCCTTAGGTTCTTTCAAAACCCCTGACGCTCGTTTCGACCACGTCCATCTAGATTTGGTAGGACCCTTACCCGACTCGAACGGATACTCATATCTCCTAACATGCGTAGACCGTTTTACTCGATGGCCAGAAGCAGTACCGATTAAGGACATTACTGCTGAAACAGTGGCTCGCACTTTCGTCGAACGATGGGTAGCAAATTTCGGCTGCCCTTCAACCATCACTACAGACCGCGGACGCCAGTTCGAATCTGGACTTTTCCGTTGTCTGACCACACTTTTAGGAATCACGCGCTTCCGAACGACCGCCTACCACCCACAAGCAAACGGGTTGGTAGAACGTTTTCATCGACAACTAAAAGCCTCATTATCAGCTTCAAACGTTTCTCAGTGGACAGACGCTCTTCCACTCGTCTTGCTAGGTATCCGCAATGCAGTGAAAGCTGACATTGGATACACGGCATCTCAACTCGTTTACGGAACGACACTCCGACTCCCAGGAGAATTCGTGGATCCTTCAGTTTCTTCATTGAACATGGATCTAAACTCTTACACGAGTAGGCTTACAAACGCTATGCGTTCAGTTAAACCTGCTCACACTCGACCTCAATCAACTGATGTTTTCGTTCAACCCGAACTACGACATAGTACACACGTCTTCGTTCGTCGAGACTCACATCGACGACCCCTCGAATCAGCATACGAAGGACCCTTCAAAGTTCTTCAACGCGAACCTAAGTACTATGTAGTCGACAAGAACGGTACGAAAGATAGCATCAGTATCGATCGACTCAAAGCTGCGTACCTAGAAGGAAACCCTAGCTACGTCGATTTTCCTTCGGTACAAGCAAACGACACAGCTACTACACTCGTAGTACCCTACACGACAACCGACACACAACTTGATACTTCGTCAACGTCGATAGAAAAACCTAAAACAACGCGTTCTGGAAGACGAGTAAGATTTCCAGAACATCTTAACGAATATTGCACGTAGGACATAAGCTTTATCTTGAATTAGCCTTTCAAAGTTTATTATAATTTTTTTTAATATGCTCATTTTTTTATTTATGTAAAAAAAAAAACAAAAAAAAACAACATTTTTTTTGAGCGTATATAGATATATATTTATATATTAAAAAAAAAACCAAAAGAAAACCTTTTTCCGATCGCTTTTACGCTGTTTGTAAGTGTATCAGTTTATTTTTTTTCCGCTCATCTTGTGTCCTTACGCAAGTACGAGTGTATTTTTGACATGCACTCACACGTTTTATTTTTCCTCTTTTCCAGGACGGCTGGAAAAGAACGACGAAGTTTCGCAAGGAACAGAAATTTTCATTGTACTATATTTCTTTATTTGCTACGTTGTACATTTTAGTCCCATAGTTTAAGGAAAGACGACCAGACGCTGCTAAACGAAGCAAGCTATCAGAAGAGTGTTTACCAACGACAAATTCGTTGGGTTTAAACTTCTGGCTGGTCACGTCTTAGGGGCATCACTACCTCACTAGGGGGGGAGTGATCTGTAGCTGTAAATAATTCCCCAAAATCAATAGCTCATTAAGTGTTCGACATTGGATGCTGACCACGTTGTTTAAGTGGACTTGTTTAGCTGAAGGCTTTCGGTCATGCATCCGCACCAGATCACGTTTCAATACTGCGTGGGACACAGCTCCTACGTTTCATTAGCCAGCTCATAGAAAAGGTCCTCGATATATTGGTAACGAATCAAATATATCTTTCCTGCCTCTTCTCGTTTGACTTCTGATTTTCTATCTGACTGGTAACAACCGAATTTAGAAGGTGCTACTGGTATCTAGTTGTAAAACTAGAATATCCGTTGCATCATCAGTAATAATAAAACATAAGTATAATTATTAACCCTCTGGGAGATCTGTACGAATGTACGGTCTTTTATTTTTATTGATTCCATCTATTCAACAGCCCTGCTTGGAAAACATCTTATATGCAGACAAATGTGATTTACAGACTATGCCTGTAAAAATGGCATTTACATGCTCTGGCCGGAAAATAATATTATTAACATATAGCACCATGTATATTTATACCAATCATTGAAAAAACTTGCCGAATTTCGGTCTTACTACTAGTGTGAAATGTCCTAGTTGACACTTCAATATGTTATGCCAAATCTTAGATGCGTCGGAAGGAAAGTCAGAGAAATTTGGTACTCCTAAACATGTCGCACAGTCCAGAAATCTCACACAAGGTCGTGTTTGACAGGAGCTTTGTTTTTCGACAAACTCATCTCAACGATTTTTCAGGCAATATCAAGACACCTATGAGGAAATAAGAGATGCATTATCACTATATATGAGAGTGAGAGCATTTAACCTATGTACAACAGATTTAAACTTTTGAGTTGTCACGCGTATCTTTCGAAGTGTGTGTTACGTAAGTTTTCGGATTGTTTTGTTGAATGGACATTATACCTAAATGTAATCTTATATAAAAAGAAGTGCTTTGGTTTAGCATACTTGGTAAGTTTACGTCGTCAATTCATAAGATTAATGCTTAGTCAAGTTATAACACCTTACCGACCTAATATTCTGGTTCGGATTTCGTTAAGGTTGATTGACCTGTGTTGGTGTCTGTATTATTTTTACTGTAAAAATGAAAATTTTTTGGGATGCGTTCGTCTTTCATGTGTAATACCACTCGGTCATGCTGGTCTTTCAGTCGCGGACCTCAAGAAGAAAGGAACGAGGTCAAAATCTGGTTTATTTCTGTTGCAGTTCCTGAGCCCTTCGTCAGGGCCTTGGAAAGTAATCATAAAAATGCGAAGGGATTAGATGATATCCAAAGCATTTAATGAGATATTGAATATTAATTTAAGATCACCTTGCGTTTTGCTATCAAATAAAATTAATAGCTCAATCGTTTTTTCACTTACGTTGTGATTGACTGACTTTTTCACTTATCGTATAATTAGAAGGGACTGAAACTGACTGTTTCTCTCCGTTGAAAAGAAGGTTCTTTCACAATCTTCAGTATGATACGGACCTGCAGCTTGGATGTAATATTTAGGGGAGTTCTCGCACAAGTGAGTTACATGATCCGAGACCTCTTCATCAAGTTACTTAAAGTTTATACCCATCGATCATAGCACATAAAAGCTTTCATTTTTTTCTCCATTGCTGTATGAGCTCGTTTTCATGAGAATTAGCCTTTCATTTCTTTTTGTTCTTTCACTTGAACAAGTGTCCCATCCACCATTTTTTGATTACCACATTGGTCAACGTACGTCGGCGCGCAATTTCTGACAAAAATATCCAAACCATAGCTTTGGGATCGTTTGGTTCGTTTAGATCATTGTTTTTTATCCAATATTGTAGTGTGTCTGTCATTCAAGTGTCGGGAGGACCCTACATAATTCCTAAGTGATACATTGTCGAATGCATCGCTAATGAGAATTCTTGTATTGGATACATACTAGGGCTTTTGTTGATCACTCTTTAGCTATACAGTTCTTATATATATGTTGGTACAAGGAAGCACCAGATACATATGCTCCACACAAATCTCATTTGATTTATGTGAGGGCTGTGATACTGCCCGGATGCCCAAACTGAAGCAGGTGGTTTTCTTAGGGGACCACACCCGGAGCCTTTGACCTAAATGTCTGATCCACAAGGCAGTGGAGCATCGTGAGGAGATGCAGTCCCATGGTAGCCGGTGACCAACGATTGATTCATACGCCATTTATTCCCGCAGGATACTGGAGCCAGTCCATGTGCAGCATTGGTTTGGAATCAGGGTTTTCCAACTCCCCTAGGTGAACTTTCCTTGTCCACCGACCCAGTTAGAGCGCCGGAAATTCGCTTTTCGTCCTCTCAATTTCGTAAACAACAGTGATGGCACGAGAAGGCAGTGAGTAGGACTTCCTTGGCAGAGACTATATAGGCGTGGCCATGTGAGAGTATTTCAAGAGAGAGAGAGAGAGCGGACTTTCCCCACTCTCGGCCATACCAGGGCATTCGGGGGCGTACAGTTCTTGGTAACTTTGGTTTCTAAGATCGCACCCTGATACTGCGTGAGAACAGCAACTAACACCTAAAAGCTGCATCTTTGATTCAAAAAATGGATAGCTAGAAAACTCATGTGGAAGAGGACAAAAACCAAGATTCTAACAGAATAGTATGGACTCACTTTATTTCGTTTGGTTGTCTTCAGCTGCTTACAACCTGTGATATTTAAAAGCATATTTACAAAATTGGTTTAAATTACTTACGTGAAAGAGTTTGGTTGGAAGTTATTTTGAAGACATGTTTGTACACTATAATAAGGATGTCAATAAATTTTATAGATTGAATTTTGTATATGTGCACCGTATATGGAAGAACATTCTACAACATTGGTTGTAAAAAGAGTTCAAACGGTCAGAAACAAGTGATTACATAATTAGTAAACTCTGATAAGAATAAAGTTAGTAAAGCTCAGTTAGTAAAATAAGATTGTTAACCTGGAAAACAGTTACATTTTCCAGCACTTCATGACCTTCCTGCTTCACTTTTTTTAACGTCAAAATAAAGCTTCAGTCTAGAAGACTTAGTAGTCACTGACAGCCAAGGTGGAACACTAGTACATATGCCTTATAAATTTCACGCCTGTTCTTAAATACATATTTTGAGAAGATTTTGACCTGTTGATCTGTTAATCATCTTTTAGATTATTATCCATGATATAATTCTGGACCGCGCATTATAAATGAAGTTTTATACAGTGTTCATATGTGTATCAATCATAAATACTGCTTCGGTAATCCATATTGTTTGTTGGGCTAATTTCGTTATCACACTATAGGCAGCTTATGAAGACGCTCGATGTAAATGTGTTTGTTTACTCCCAAGCTCCTATATGAATAATACCAAATCATCAAAGAAGATATATGTCAAGGCGATTCCTTCTGAGAAATGGTATACTACTTTAAATTGACTTTTGTCTAATATTTTTCTTTAATATAGTACCTGTGAATATATGTTACAAAATGATAAAGACCTTTGTCGTTATTGTGAATGCAAATTTCAGGTTAGAAATACCGCTACCATAAAAGTAGGTTTTATTGTTCGTACTAAAATAATTAATTTATTGACGTTTATAAAAATAGTTAAGAGAGTATTGTAAAATTTTGTTTTAGTTGATTTCTTGTTCAATACTATAAAATAGTGACAGAAGAATCTTAAAAACTAATCAGGACTGTAATATTTCTTATCAGCCGTCGGAAAAAAGAATGAATATACCTGTCTTCATAATCGTCTTTCTCACTATTTGTAGAAACTTCGTCCTGTATCCATGTCGACAGATAGTTGATGTATTCCGATGGTTGATTCAAATCCGTAACTAATTGAATTTAGTTGGATTTTGTAAATAATAGCTCAATATTCTGCTACTTGTATAAGAAACAAGTAATTTACTTCTTAGTGTCATGTTTACTCCTTTGTATCACAAGTTGACTTAAAAATAAGCTGTGAAGTTTCCGTATCTATAATAAAATTACTTAACGAAGTAACAGTTTTCAAATCCAAGTAATCATGAACAGATTGCTATTTCTTTTTTTTTAGGTGGTAAGTACATTAATAAGTATCTGCCTTTTCACTTGTATTACTTGTATTATAATGATGATAATGTTACGTAGGTTAATAGGATAAAAAATGGGATACACAATAACGTGAAAGTATTTTCAAAGTCCAACTAATAAGATTTTTATTAATTATTCTATCTTAATCGTAATGAACCTATAAAAAGCGACGACGAGGCATGTGTAATACATGCATGTATGTTCTCTATTTTTCATAATGGGATCGTATTTTACCGTCAGAAGTAATCTAAAACCTGTTTTAGTCATTAAACCTAATAATATTCTATTGTAGTAACTAGTTTTAAATAACCATAAGTATGCAAGCGGAGATATGTTGCAATCAAAATGTGCTTATTTCCATCAAATAAATATTCCACTAGCATCCAGAAGCTGAAACAAAAAAAATCAAGCAACTCAGGTGTATATATACCGCATAAAAATGTCTTTGGGAGACGTCACAAAGGAGAAAACGAACCAATGACATTTATGGTCCTATTGTGGTGTGCGTTACTTATATCCACTTGAGTAGTATATGGTGATGGTCAAGCAGAGAATGCATTTTCGCAGAAGATCAATAAAGAAATAACAGAAACGAAGCGCAATCGGTATGAAAACGCATGAACAATGAAATCAGTGAAGATGAACTGATATTTACGGAAGGAACAGTGAAGATTGAGACAATTGATTGTTATTTTGCAAATTAACTGTTTACTGTATGGTTATTAGATTTCAGTGACGTAGTTTGTAATTTTCGTGTTAAATACATTGGATTGTCCCCACCCGTGTTCTCATTTACTACACTGCCAACTGAGAAACTCAAGGTGCAAGCAGAGTACGCAGAAACAAACAAGGAGGAGAAGAAAAGCATTAAAGCCGACAAGCAGAAATACATGGGAGAACTAGCAATGACGGCGGAAAAAGCTGCAAGAGAAGGGAGTATGAAACAAAGATATGATAAAACGAAGAAACTAGCAGGTAAATATAGTAAACCAGAGAGATCAGTCAAGGACAAAGAAGGAAAGACAATTACGGAGATTCAAGAACAAAGGAAAAGATGGGCAGAATACTTCGAGGAACTGCTGAATAGACCAGTCCCACTGAATCCACCGGGTATCGAAGCAGCACACACAGACCTTCCTATGGCTGTCACTCCACCAACGATCGAAGAAGTCAAGATGGCCATCAGATAAATCAGAAGTAGGAAGGCGGCAGGACCTGACAATATACCAGATGAAGCACTGAAGTCAGACATTGAAGTAACAGCAAACATGCTTCATCTTCTATCCAAGAAGATTTGGGAACAGGAACAAGTACCAACGGACTGGAAATAAGGATACCTCATCTACCAAAGAAAGATCTGAGCAAACTTGAGAACTACGGAGGCATCACACTGTTGTCAGTACCAGGAAAAGTTTTCAACTGAGTGTTGCTGAACTAGATGAAAGACTCATAAGACGCCCAACTTTGAGATCAACAAGCTGGATTCTGTAGGGATCGGTCGTGCACAGACCAAGTTGCAACACTATAGATCAACGCGGTACAATCAGTTGAGTGGAACTCATCACTATGCATAAACTTCATTGATTATGAGAAGGCATTTGACAGTGTGAACCGGAGAACATTATGGAGACTTCTTCGACACTAAGGAGTTCCTGAAAAGATTGTCAACATTATCCGGAACTCATACGACGGACTACAGTGCAAAGTCTTACATGGAGGACAGCTGACAGATTGGAGTCAGACAAGACTGTCTACTCTCCCTCTTCCTCTTTCTTCTGGTAATTGACTGGATTATGAAGATCTCGACATCTGAGGGGAAGCACGGAATACAATGGACATCTCAGAATCAATTAGACGATTTGTACTTCGCGGATGACCTGTCCCTCCTATCTCGTGCACACGAACAAAAATACAGACAAAGACAAGAAATGTAGCAACAGCCTCTGCATCAATAAGCCTCAACATACAAAAGAGGATAAAGCAAGATCCTCAAACACAACACGGAGAACACCAGCCCAATTTCACTTAATGGAGAAACTCAGGAAGATGTAGAATCATTCACGTAACTGGGAAGCATCATTGATGAACAAGCAGGATCCGATGCAGATGTAAAGCAGGGATTGGTGAAGCAAAGACCGCATTTCTACAGTTGAAGAACATATGGGACCCAAAACAACTGTCAACTAATTTCAAAGTCAGAATTCTCAATGCGAACGTCAAGACAGTCCTACTGTACGGAGCTGAAACGTGGAGAACTACTACATCCATTGTCAAGAAGGTACAAGTATTTATAAACAGTTGTCTACGCAAAATACTCAACATCCATTGGCCGGATACTATCAGAAACAGCGTTTTATGGGAGAGGACAAACCAGCTTCCAGCTGAAGAGGAAATTAGGGAAGGACGTTGGAAATGGATCGGACGTACATTGAGGAAATCACCAAACAGCATCACGACTCAATCCCTAACTTGGAATCCGTAAGAGAAGCGGAAAAGAGGAAGGCCAAAGAACACAATACGCCGGGAAATAGCAGATATGAAAAAAATGAATAACAACTGGAAAGAACTGGAAATAATTGCTCAGGACAGGGTTGGATGGAGAATACTGGTGTGTAGTCTATGCTCTTCCACAAGGGGTAACAGGCGTAAGTAAGTAAGTAACTGGGGAATACAATATGAAGATGAAAATAGACGCTTTCGGTGCGAAAACAAGGAATTCAAATTTTCAAAATGAAATTACAAAAATAATGCGTTTACCAAGTGATTTCTAGGGATCTAGCATCCTCAACAGCGTCAAAATGATCAGTTTAGCCTGTACGTGTTACATTTTTTTCCTCTGCTCAAATATTTTTTGTCCATGTTTTTCTATGACTAAATGGTTAAATAATGTCTCTTTCTATATTATACAAGGTAGTGATATCAGCAAATGTTTATTTAATTACATTATATTTATTGGTCAGTAAATCGTCTACAGTACATTTGATCTATCAACCATTATTTCTTTTCATATTATTTTAGGTTGTTGTTTGCCTTATTCTAACAATCATTACAGCATTAGTTTTGTATATGCTATTTCTCTCACTACTTGAACCATTACTATCCACAAGATATTTATCACATAAAACAATAATTGATATGGGAATATGTTCAGAACCACAACAACCAAGTAACTTTACTATCAATCAACATAGTAATAATAATGACAAGATAAATGATGCAAGATCAACTAATTCATGGGTTAATATAAATATTCCCGTTAGTAGTAGTGACTGTGGCAATTCAGCTGTCTATTCTAAAGCGATTGTTAAAGCCGTTATTTGGGATAAAACTAAGTTGAATTGTAAACAATTAATGGATTCCAATTTGAGAATAATCAGTAAGTTTTAAAGTGTTTGGTTGTATATATATATATATACATATATATATATATATATATATCTGTGGTCAAACTAGAGAGAGCCGTTGTACAAATTTTCTTGAGTACAGAGATTTCTAAATGCAGATCACCATAACTTCAACAGTATACAAAAGATTTGTGCTTAAATAACGCGGTAAATTTGATGGAATACGATGAATATCTTTGAAAGCTTTATTCAAGTTAACTTAATATCTTTTATCAATCAAGTGAACAAGAATAAATTTTTTATTCAATCTTAATTGTCCTCTGCTAAGCCAAACTGGACGGTGTTTGATTTTTGAACAAGAACAATATCATAAATAAAAAATCTGATGTAATAGTTCCTAAATGTTACCAGATAAACAGACAAATATAGAATGTATCACATTCTTAATAGTATTTCTAGAGGAAATCTATGTTTCAAAATAAGCAAGAAAAATACGAGTCCAGAAAGAAAAATAGCTGTCAAATAACAAAATTTCCTAAGTTTTGACGTATGATGATTGAATGAACCTGTGTTATTATAGTTGAAAATTTGTTCCATGGATTATGTAATCAAACGCCCGAATTAATATAGATAGAATGGATTTGTGAAGATTACTTTCGAAATTCCGGATTATTAACACAATAAGCACCTAGTGAACGAGTTTCAAAAGGCGATAACTCGTCAACAAAAATTAAGTCGTTTATCAAAGCAAGACTACACACGTACAAAATATTGAACACAAAACAAGCATAACTAAAATTCTTGTAAGACGTAAATTGGTCATTGATTCTTGTTTTGCTGACGATTAACCAACTTATAAAATTACTACCTGAATATCAGACTGACTAGTTTTTATCATATCGTGTATCATTTTGATGAATTTAACTTCTCCAACTGCTGATTATTATCGACCCGAGAGTTGTCCATACCTTCTTGCGTTATTTCGACCACAGACTTGTGGTTGCTACCACTTATTGGTTATGGCAGCTTGTATCATACGCTGTTAAAAGTTGCCTTATCCACTTAACTCAACCCATACTGGTACACAATTCGTATCGATGTTCTAATCAATATCTTAGTAATAAAAAGATTTTAAACGTTACTTATAACTCCATCATATTTTTTCTTAGTAACCTGGTTTTAAGTTCTCGTTCAGGGAGCTTCATACATGGTACATTGTTAACAGAATTTTTGTTACTGTTGCGCTAGGGTAGTATGTTAATCTTTCAACAAATGCACTACTTCGAACAAATTAACCAGAATTAAGTCAATCAACAGTGCTTTAATTTCCACTACTTTTTGTCCAAATAACCAATCTATTATAAATTAGAGGGGGGTTTTGTGGAGAATTTAGTATTTTCACAGTTGAAATCATGAGTCAATTGAAGCTAGACCACCATCGAAAATCTGGAAGCACTGGACGGCCGTTTCGTCCTAATATGGGGCTCCTCAGCAGTGCGCATCCACGATCACGCACCCGCGAGATTCGAACCCAGGACCTACCAGTCTCGAGCCGAAGCCCTTAACCGATAGACCACTGAGCCGGCATCCAACGGTGTTAATGTCTAACTTCAACCAATCCACGATTTTGAGCGACCGTTCACCAATTGTCTTCAGTGAGCTGATATCTCTACAACAGACCTGGCAGAACTCCACTGGCCACTGCTTCCCACTAGAACTCAAGGAAATATCTCGGTTAAGCGCTTCGGCTCGAGACTGGTAGGTCCTGGGTTCGAATCTCGCGGGTGCGTGATCGTGGATGCGCACTGCTGAGGAGTCCCATATTAGGACGAAACGGCCGTCCAGTGCTTCCAGATTTTCGATGGTGGTCTAGCTTCAATTGACTCATGATTTCAACTGTGAAAAAACTATTATAAATTATCAAATAGATCATGACATTCCAACATCTTGCTTACACGTTTTATTGCTTTATCAGTATTCATTGGTGGTTTTATTTTGTAATTTTCATCATAATTTTATTGTTTTTCTATCCATCTGCAATATACTTCACTCGAAACGTGATATCACAACCTTACGTTCAAATAAAGATAACTGTTTCCCATCACGACCTTAGTACTTTATCACAATTTCATTGACTTTATATACAAAATAATTGCCGTTCAGATAATTTATGCTCAGATTTTATTGATTTTGTTATGTTCACCCATTCACTGTAAAAAGTGAGGATTCGGTTTTACTTTCTTTAAAGCAGCTCCTTCAAATCGGGGGCGATTGCGTAGTCGCTCCGGCCTAATTTCAAATGATCAAGTTGAAGATCCTAATGAATTACATCTTACCACAATACCTTCTACATCTGTCGGAGTATCTAGTGTTGTAAATCGTGTTCGAGATCAACAACAGCGTTGGAAAGGAAATGTTGAAGCACAACGTACTCGTGTCTTCAGTGAACGTAGTTTACTAAATTAACATGTTTTTTGACGATTTATTTAAATCTCTTTCCATCAATGATTTCTTTCCTGACAATATAACATTAGTTAGGAGTCCTGGTTGAGTTGTCTAAAATCTATATAACTGTTGATTTTCTCCTATATTGTTAATTAAAAAATAAATAATGGACAAGCTTTGGAAAGCTGAAATATAATTTCTAAATCTCATTGGAATACTGACTCTTTGTTTAAACTATGTGTATATACAATATTTTTTTTGGTCACCATTATTTATTCGTCTCATTAATTGAATTGCATAATCAAACTAATAACTTTTGTTGCATAATCATCAACTCGACTGTAATTCATTAATATTCATTGTTCGGTTTTGTTTTACTTTTTCATTCAAATACATTCACAATATGTTGAATGTAAAATGCATTAATTTGTTATGTTGAAATCTGGTAAAGTAACATGATTGCTTTGATATTTCTCAGTGTTTTGTAAATAAATCAAATGAATACATTCTAATTTAGGGAATATATATAAATCTGTCTAGTGGTCATATTAACTTGTGATTATCGACCGCCCTTAATTTATTTATTTAAACACATAAGTATTGGTACAAAGGGGCACCGGATATATATGCGCCACACAAATCTCATTTGATTTATGTGAGGGCTGTGATACTGCCCGGATGCCCAAACTGAAGCAGGTGGTTTTCTTAGGGGACCACACCCGGAGCCTTTGACCTAAATGTCTGATCCACAAGGCAGTGGAGCATCGTGAGGAGATGCAGTCCCATGGTAGCCGGTGACCAACGATTGATTCATACGCCATTTATTCCCGCAGGATACTGGAGCCAGTCCATGTGCAGCATTGGTTTGGAATCAGGGTTTTCCAACTCCCCTAGGTGAACTTTCCTTGTCCACCGACCCAGTTAGAGCGCCGGAAATTCGCTTTTCGTCCTCTCAATTTCGTAAACAACAGTGATGGCACGAGAAGGCAGTGAGTAGGACTTCCTTGGCAGAGACTATATAGGCGTGGCCATGTGAGAGTATTTCAAGAGAGAGAGAGAGAGCGGACTTTCCCCACTCTCGGCCATATCAGGGCATTTGAGGGCAACTACCCTTAAGAACGATAATGGAAACAAAAACATCCTAGAATGTGTCAAAATTATGTTAGTGTCGATGATCTTTGTCTTATCAGTGATCATTTTCTCCTACAGTCATCAAAAGTGGAGCATAGGAAAGTTTAGACAGTGTTGCTGAGACGACGAGAGTTTAAGACTACCACAGTTGTTCCGCGGATATTTGCAGCTCAAATTAAGTTGATGAAGAATTAGGACTCACATATGTGAATTTAAAAAACCTTAGCTTCAAATTAATGATGAGCATGAGCTCCAGGATTTTCAGAGAATAAGTAACATATTATGGGATTGTATCTTATATTATCTTGTGTGACAGACGTTTATTTGAAACGTCCAGGGGTGGTCCTATGTAGAAACCACTTAATTCGACTTTAGTGCCTCGACATAACTTCAGCCTCCATATCATTAGTGATGATTGGTAATAAGTATAATGAACTAATTGCCCAATACATTAAGCTTCACTAATCATAACTTTTTGTAAGGAAATTTATTTTGTCATTTTAACATTCGATTCATGTATGACTCATAGATTACAAGTATAAATGTCTGATGCTGTATCATACGTCTCCCGCTTAGAGGTTACGCTCATAAGATTATAATGGGTGTATACTACTTATGGGTTTAGTAACTGAATAACTACCAAGTCAAACGAAATTTGCAATCAAGGTGAATATGACTCCTAAAGTTTACGTTCGTTGTTGGTGACGATAAATATTATCCGCCAAACCGTTAATTTTATGATATCAACATAATAAATCCAGTGTTGGAGGGAAAATAACCGATGAATAGTTGAAAGGTTATGATTTGCGACATTCGATTTATCATTTATTTTCCAATTTGGGCGTATATCTATCTGTCTCCAGTTATTAAAAATTCCAACTAATTCCGTAGATCTTCTAGACCTATCCCAATGTGTAATTAGATTCACTTGGAGATGAGATGTAAAAAAGGTTTCGTACGAAATATTTTAGGAATTGTTATATCCCAGGTTCTTAACTAGTAGACCAATAAGTTTAAAATATGTAGGAAGGGATTACTGAATTGTGTGCTGTATAGATTATTGTCAGTCAATCGTGAGGTGTGGGTCAATATAAAAATTAATCATAGTGATTGTACTATTGGTTTATGTGATAAAAAATTCTAATGAGTGGGTAAGAAATAAAAAAAATCCACACATGAAATTCTACATGAGAAAAAGACATTACAAAACATGTGAATAAGTACCAAATAATTAGTAAAGTTGAAGTGGTACATTTCATGGTTACATGACTGTTCCGACTTATCCCAGTTCGTTTATAGCTTGTATTAAATCCTGCCGAGGCACCCAACCACATGAATGAGTTACGCGTGAAAATCGAATTCCAAAACAGATTTTATCTAGAGAACACTTCTATCATTACAAAACATATGTAGATTAGTGACAAACCTCAACTTGTAAGGTATCTATGGCAGTTGATGTGTCTGTATATAAAAGAGTAAATGCTTCCTGCAGTAATTACCCAAAAATTAACTACAACATACAATGGTGTAGATGAAAGTCGTTAGCTGTCTAAAATCATTAATAACTTATAACAATCGAACAAAGGACAAGTGCACAAAATATGAGAGTTGTTCTGCCGAAACCAAAATAAAGTGAATGTTAATGGTTTATGCAGGTACTTAAGAACATTTTATGATAGTAAATTCACCTTCCACACCGTATTCTCATAGTTGATTAGAAATGAAACTCGTTACTGAATATCAGTAAGTAGTATAAGGCAACACAAAATAAGAGGTGAACAAGAAGATCACGACTGAATTAGAACAAAAGGAACAGCTTATACAAACTTTCTACATAGATTTATCATGGTAAAACTGAAAGCTCGTGTATGGGTATGCACTCTGTCTCAACTGAATTGTATGAGGCTGCTAAATCATTGCAAAGTGCAATGCCTACATTTTGATTTCGACACACTTCGCCAAACTGTCTACCAACGATAAATATAGTCACTCTAATGGTATGCAGAAACTTTTCTTCACATGTTTTATTTCACTCATTTATTTGTTGTAACTGTAGTTCATTCCATTTTCTTTACTGAAGAATTTCCCTAGTTTTCATTCGATGACATGAATTTTTCATACTCGGTCAGTTTCTTTTCAGCTTTACGGTTCTCTTATGCTGCATCTAAGATGTATGATTGCTGGTACTATGCGACGACAGCATATATATACTAAAGGTGTTACAATTTGTGTAATATGCGAAATTATTGTTCACATGCGTGTTTGAGTAAAAAAGTAAAAATATGACGTTTGTTAACACTCTATAGTCAGGACACAGAAGAATATGACGTTATTTATGAAAAATTAGTCATACTTTATACCCAGTAAATTGCAATACACATTCTCGGTGTTATATGAGGTGGTTAAAAATACTGAATATAGACACATTGAAAATGTGGTAAATAAAGACTTTTAGTTGAAACGGACAATATTGTACAAAAAGATTAATCAGCTAAATGCACGTAGCACTTAGGTTTAGTTATTGTTGGAAAAGTATTACTGTTAGTTCCTGGCCTAATAGGAAAACTTACTCATGTAATTAATAGTGTCATCTAATTTTTAGTTATCGAGGAAGGCTGGTATTATTCGATCAAAAGAGATTTTCTTATTCTTGCCACCTTTATCGATAATGAAGTATTTTTAACTCGTTCATTAACTCAGTATGGACTTTAGTAAGGCTATTTTATTAGCTTTTTAACTGCATCCATGTGAAAATAATTGGTATTTACGAAATCGTCCGCGTCTTCTCTGAGCGTGTGGAGGTACCTGCTTGAATCTGTGTATGACCTATGAGGAGTGAATAACGATTATCGATGGGTTATTTTTCGTTTCATCCTCTCTGATAGGTAACCGAACAGGTAAGACTGAATTTGAAACATATTCTAAGTTAGCCGCTATACACCTAATATCTTTGATCATAGACCGTATTTTCATCATTATTATCTGAAGTGCGTCTATCTATTTTGACATATCAGCCTGAGACGTGAGCGAGCTTTTAAAATGATGGTGGAATCTCCCCACTAAATCATTGGTTGATGGATGATAGACTGTCGTAGTGACATAGTGCACTTCTAGGAGGTAGGAGGACCCACGAAAAAACACTGATTCCAAATGAATTCCTCTGTCTGTAGGGACAGTGGCGGAAACTCCGAAGCTATCCGTCCAACGATCGAGGAGTAAACAAGTGATTGCTTCGACGGACATGCTGTTGATGAACTACGTTGCTGCTTATCTAGCAAGGAATTCGTGACCTGGATAACTGAGTTCTATGGTGGAAGACAATTATGTAGGCTTCGCATTTGTGTTTATTGGATCCAGAATTTCCCATTCAGACTATAAACTAATATTAAATAATATGAGCCTACAAACTTTTAATCACCATGCATCGGCGATCTAATAGCACCTTCTAGTTTACAAACTAGATAACATCACGAATTGTCAGGATATAAAATTGTTCACTAACAAGTAACAGTTTGAGTAATTTATCTGTAATAGCTTAAAATTTCATTTAACGAATAAGAAATACCACTTTCATTCTGATGATAACCAAATTTATTTTGAAAATCATTCTCATTTTCTAATACAGTTTTTGATAAAACAATCCAATGTTAATTCTTGTATGTAAAGGTATTGGACTCTCAATATAAACAGTTAAGCGACTATAGTTTTATTGAAAATGAAATTGGAGATTAGTATCTAGATTTCATTTTGTATATCTGTAGGTAACATTACCAAGTTTTGATTTGATAATTTTGAATAAATTGAGCATTGGGTAGATTGTTATAAATGAACTAATATATTTGTAATATCCCAATGAGTAGAAAAATTAGATTTTCTGACGTTTCGTGACTCAGTGTAAGCCACTTCTTCAGAGAATAAATAACCAAATGAATTTGGTACACAATGTAGTAAAGGATGATTTGAAGGAAGATAATGAAACCACATAAACCTGAATTCTCATCAGTTGTTGTGACATTTAGGGTTATTATTGATTAGTTTAATGTTCACAGTCTCTGTGCTGATTTCATTACAGCCCCTCACCTATAATTACGTCTGTTTACCTTTACTTTTTTCAAACCATTCAATTAATTTGTCTAATAGTGTTATTCGAATAGTAATAACGTGTATGTCATTACATCATTATCATTATTTCTGCATTCTCGATCACGTGTTACAGCCTACTCACATATGCATTTTAGATGCGTAAGTGTTAGTTGCTATCATATATATATCCACCATTCGAAATACGACTTGTCTAATCTTAAGACTGTACTAAATCAATGACGCCCAACTGGTATGAGAAGTTTACCGTCCTTATTGGTTCCTTGTCCACCTAGCCCTTCCAATTCAGTCCAAAAACACCAGTTGTAGCTTCTGTTATGCGAATCATTTATTTCAAATATACCCGGTTTACATAACAGACAGACAGACCGCAGCACAACATACAAGAAAAAATAATATTTGTACAAGATGAATCTAAATGTGGCTGTGAACGTGGGATACAGTAATCAATAAACTGAATATAATTTAGGAACAGTTATTCGTATAATAATAATCCATAAGTCAAAATGAAGCTTATAATAAGATGAATATAGATATACACAACTTAATTACTCAATAGTTATACAATTAGAATATATACATAGAATAATAGTTCATCAACAGGTCCCGGAAGTTACTCGTACTTTCATTATCACTAGGATATAATAAATACCTTACACTAAAATAAAACCAATTACCCTTTTATAAACAGTTACTATCTTAAAATGTAAAATTCTACCCTGTGTAGATATGAATATGATCATTAGTTAAAATAAATATCTTCCTGTAACATTAAATGATGGTTACATTTTGTTGTTAACTTAATGAACTTTTATAAAATTTGATTATCATTTTCTCCTGATCAGTAGACAATGTGGTGTGATCTACTTATATCCGCATAAGTAGTATATAGTGATGGTCAAGCAGAAAATGTATTTTGGCAGAAGATCGATAAGGAAATAACAGAAACGAAGCGCAATCGGTATGAAAATGCATGAACAATGAAATCAGAGAAGATGAACTGATATTTACGTAAGGAACAGTCAAGATTGAGACAATTGATTGTTATTTTGCAAATTAACTGTTTACTGTATGGTTATTAGATTTCAGTGACGTAGTTTGTAATTTTCGCGTTAAATATATTAGATTGTCCCCACCCGTATTCTCGTTCACCTATGAAAGTTAATTGTTATGAAAACATGGATAGTGACTAGCAGTGGAATCCAGGAAGCGCGTTTCGTTCTATTTGAGACTCATCAGCTGGGTGTACCTGTATCTCAGAGTTGATGTTCACTCTGGTACTCGAACCCAGTACCTTTCGCTTCAACCGCCATCGTGTTATTCACTCAGCCACTATCCATCTTTGCTTAGAATGCTCGTGAATTTAGGCTATATCGAGGCAATACGCACAGTATGCATATATGCTAATTAGAAACTGACTAATTGCAACCTTAAACATCAATTGGAAGATTCAAACAAACAATAGAAAGTGAATTTAATTGTTATAAGTTTAGTTGTAGAAAGAAAAAGAACGAATTCATTTATGAAACATTAAAAAAAACAACTTGATAAGATCAATTCACGACATTCTGAAGTACATCTAAATCAACAAGTTATCTGGGTTTTTTTAATTTGTTTTAACCTATCATTATGTCTATTAATCGCATAACCTACACAGGCGCGTTTATAAAAAGCTTACGTCCTTTCGCTGCAAAAATTACAAACAAGCACAATAAGAGACATCGTGGTGGTTGGCAATATGCTTTAAAGAGAATAAACATCAATCAAATGTCGATTCCCGAGCTACTTAACTCAAACTGTCGATCACTAATTAACAAGGTGGACTATCTCCAATTTCTGCTAAGTCAAAACATGTATCGTAATTGTGGTGTCATCACAATTCAAGAATCTTGTTTAACTGACTTACAGGATGATTGCTTAGTGTCATTACGTGATTTTAATATCTATCGTCAGGATCGATCAAACAATAAAAAGACTTGTGGTGGCGGAGTAGCTACTTTTGTAAACGTTAACTGGTGTCGATCTACTTTTGCCTGTTTCAAGTTTTCAAACGACTTTATTGACTGTCTAACTTTAAGGTGCCGTCCAAAACACCTGAATAAATACAAATATATTTATGTTACCAATATCTACGTGACTCCAGACTGCACATCATCTGCGCTATCTGTCTTCACTGATAAATTTACTGAATTCGCCGTTACTGCCTTCAGTGATTCACTTTCAATTGTATGTGATGATTTCAATTCATGTGACTGTAGCTTCCTTACATCACTAGGTCACCTAAATGTAGTAGATTTTCCTACTCGTTTGAATGCTCATCTAGATTTGGTTTTCATTAATGATGTGGGTGCCTATGTGACTCGCAAACGTGCTCCATTGTCTAGTTCGGATCACTGTATAATTCGTGTCCTGCCTAAAGTATATGATAAACATGGAAAGAGTACACACATACTCCATACCAAAAAAGTAATATATAGGAGTTACTCAGAAGAAAATTTACAAAATCTGAAAAACATGTTTCGTACGACCAACTGGGAAGTACTTACAGATGACTCAATAGAAAACACAACGGATGTCATCACCTCTTATCTTAAATTCTGTTTTGATATTTGCTGTCCTACCGAAACCTTCTTTTTAAGTTTTGATCGACTTACATCTCCACAACTAAAACGACTACGGAGGGTAAAAGAAAGGATGTACAAGGAGAAAAACACTATTGAAGTTCGTAAGTTAAATGATCAAATAAACCAAGAGATTAGACGTCTCAACTGTGTGTTCACTCAAAAACTCCTATCTTGTAGAAGCTCTCCAAGTATGTGGAAACTCTTTAAAGAAATTACAGGGGACAGGCAGACTAGAAGCGAAAACCAGCTAAATGTTTGTGACTTAAATAAGTCCTTTATTCATCAGTCATCTGACATCATGCTCCCTATATCCAAGGGTTTGAAGAATAGTTGTGTCCCCAGTTTTACTGAAAATGATGTCCGGAAATGTCACCAGTCTCTGAATTCATCTCAATGTTTAGGACCTGATGGTATCCCAAACCTCCTTTTTAAAAAATGTGCTGATGTTTTATGTTATCCATTAACAAATATCTTTAACAGATCCTTCTCAACTAATGTCTTACCGAAAATGTGGAGAAAGATAAAGATAATCCCTATACCTAAGAAAGCTTCTGGTGATAAAAATGCGAAACTTAGACCCATTGCAATAACCTCACCTTTCCTCAAAATAATGGAAAAATTACTGATACAACCACTTCAACCTTCAATAAAAGAGTACTGTGATCCATTTCAGTTTGCTTACAAATGCAAAAGAAGCACATTAGATGCCGTTGCTGTTCTGCATCACAATATAGTGTTCGGGTTGGAAAAGGGTAAGAAGTATGTTAGATGCGCTTTTCTGGACTTTACTTCTGCTTTTGATTCTATTCCAAGACACCTCTTACTTAACAAGCTGATTCGCATCGACACTGACAGCTGGATAACCAATTGGCTACGCTCCTACCTTTCTGGAAGAGAACAGTACACTGTATTTGAAAGAAAGTGTTCAACATCTCTACTGTCTACTGTAGGTGTGCCACAAGGAGCTGTTCTTTCACCTCTGCTCTTCTCTTTCTTTTTGCATGATCTGCCATCTTCCACAGAAAACACTTTTGTGAAATATGCGGACGACCTCACCGTATGTATGCCAATTTCTACCTCCTTACATCCTATAGAAATGAATGAGTTTTTATCTCGTATTGAAAGGTGGTCTGTTGGTAATGGTCTCTTACTCAATCCATCTAAATGTCAAGCTGTTAATTTTAGCTTGAGACATGGACAGAACCTATACTCTATGTTGGGATCCCATAATGCTTGTGCCATTGGAGACTCCTTAATAAACACAGTGTCGAGGGTCAAATATCTTGGTGTTACTTTTTCCTCTGATCTTTCTTGGTCTTCTCATGTTTTACTATTATCGAAAAAAGTTTACCGCTTGATATACTACATAAAGAGGCTGCATGCTTTTGGGATTACTCGCCATTTACTCTTACAATTTGTAAATTCCTGCATATTACCTATTATTTTATATTGTTCTCCATTATTCTTTCCTGGGCTTTTGAGAAAAGACTTTGCTATTTTGCGTAGAATGCTGAAGGCGGTTTGCAAGGTATGTGGTGAATCTTTTGAAGTCATTGTTAATATGCTTGTGGATAGACATCTTAAGTCTTGCAAACTCTTGGCAGGTGTTATCTTATCAGATACTAACCATCCGCTTCATTCATATCTTTCTCCTTGTATATCTTCTGGTAGAACGAGACGTAAATACATTAAAATCCATGCACGCAAGCAAATCTATAAAAGTTCTGTAATACCTTACTTAGCAAATTTACTTTGTGACGAACAGGCTGTTAGAGTTGACCTAGTAAATAACCTGTCTTCTTAAGCATGTCTCAAATTCGATAATTTGTATAAAGTCGGTTTTTCCTAGACCTTTTTTTTTAAATTTTATTTCTGTTTTTTTTGTTTGTTTGTTTTTTCGGGTTTTCATTTTTGGTAAAAAAACTTGTTGAAATAACTTGTGCTGAGAATTCTATATTGTACCAGATTATAATATTGAATAAAGCCATTAATAATAATAATAATAATAATAATAATCTTTCAATAAAATTTCATTTGAGTGAGTGAATTCCTTTCCAATATTGATATAGAAAAAAAAGAAAAGAAAAAGTACATGTTTACTTATAATTTTGTTTATTCAAAATGATTATACATTTACATTATTTATTTGTAAAATTATATGTTTATATTCATTTGTATTGTACATTTGAAACTGGATATTTTATGGTTATATACATGAAGTAATAAGTTAGTTTATTCATCAAATATTCTTTTCATTTGTTAAGAGAAATTAACTTGTATACACTTGTATATATATATATATAGATATGTTGGAGAGTACTGCACTTATTCCGAGTATTCTAATTGTCTAGCTGTTTAATTGAAAAATTTCTATTTAAAAATGAATTTCTTGACACTTTACGTAACTTTGGTATATACAATTCTTAGTGTTTACTCAGACATTGTACCACGTAAGCAATTTTTTTCTGATGAATATTTATATAGTTTTAAAGCATGAGTCAATTGAAGCTAGACCACCATGGAAAACCTGGAAACACTGGACGGCCGTTTCGTCCTATTATGGGACTCCTCAGCAGTGCGCATCCACGAACCCGCTCGCGCGAGATTCGAACCCAGGACCTACCAGCTTCGAGCCGAAGCCCTTAACCGATAGACCACTGAGCTGGCATCCGACGGTGTTAATGTCTAACTTCAACTGATCCACGAAGTTGAGCAACCATTCACCAATTGTCTTCAGTGAGTTCCTATCTCACAACAGACGTGGTTAAAAGAAAAATGATTAACACAATCTAATGAGGGTTCAAATACTTCCTCTAAACAATCGATATGAGAAATTGTATAGTTATAAAGAATTAACAATGGATACTCAGTCATAGAATCAGGTCCCTAATTACTTAAAATTTTCGGTTATCTGTTTTGTAAATATGCCCATATTATAACAACCTCATTCTTATTGAATTTATTTTAAATAACTGATAATCTATTTGAGCTCCATTTATTCATATTAAGCTGAATACTTCAAAATACAATCGAAAATGAGATATTTTCTTTTATATCGAGTGTGTCTGTCTGGATACCCTGTTTATATATGATGTGATGATTCCCCCAATTAAAGAGCAGTGAATTGTCGATCAGAGCAATGATACACGAAAAACCGTACGAGCAGTCTTGAGCACTTATCAGTCCTGCTTTCTCCCAACCCAGCCAGTTAAGTCCAGAACACCAATAACAGCCTCTGCAATAGGAATCATTATTCTCAAACATACTGGGTTTATATACCAAACAAACTGACCACATCATACCATAAAGTAGAAAATAACATTTGTACAAGATTTGGACAAATGTGGCTGTGAATGGGAGGAACAGCAATTAATGGACTGGGCATAACTCAGGAATGATAAATCGTACAGTAGTAGTCTATGAATCAAAATAAAGCTCATAATAAAAGGAACATGAATATGAATAGTTAAGTTACTTAGCAATTATACAATAGGAAATATACATATCATATTGGTCCATAAATAGTTCTCAAAAGTTATCCTTCAGAAAAGTAGACAATGGTAATGAGAGCAATAAATCTATTTATTGATGAAAATAAACGTCATGGAAGTGAAACTTAGTAATGAACATGAATGGCATCTAAACAATGTTAAATAGATATTTTTTTCATTTGTCTTAAAATATTTACAAGCAAAATGAGTATAACATTATAACCTGTTGAAATATTCTCTAATGTAAACACACACACATTAATGATATTGAATAATTGACATCATGAGTCAATTGAAGCTATACCACCATAGAAAACCTGGAAGCACTGGACGGTCCTTTTGTCCTGTTGTGGGACTCCTCAGCAGTGCGCACCCACGATCCCACCTCGCGAGATTCGAACCCAGGACCTGCCAGTCTCACACCAGAGCGCTTAACCATTAGACCACTGAGCCGGCAACCGATGGTGTTAATGTCTAACTTCAACCAATCCACGAAGTTAGAGCAACCGTTCACCTGGGTTCGAATCTCGAGAGGCGGGATCGTGGATGCGCGCTGCTGAGGAGTCCTACAGTAGGAAAAAACGGCCGTCCAGTGTTTCCAGGTTTTTCATGGTGGTATAGCTTCAATTGACTCATGATTTCCATTATGAAATTACTGAAATCTCCACAAAATCCTTTTCTGATATTGAATAAATTAATAAGTATGATAACCAATATTTATAGTTAATCTTTCCTATAACAAGTTCATGATTTACAAATTCTGTTTTAGTTGCAGGTATAACAAAGGAATATTATTACAAGTAAGAATTGTTGGTAATAAATAAATTATAATTTTTTTAAACAAATTAGATTTTCATAGTTGGGATCATCAGTCAATTGAAGTTAGACCACCATGGAAGCACTAAACATTAACACCGTTGGATGTCGGCTCAGTGATCTAGAGGTTAAGTGCTCGCGCGCAAGACTGATAGGTCCTGGGTTCCAATCTCGCGAGGCAGGATTGTGGATGCGCGCTGCTGAGGAGTCCCACAACAGGACAAAAGGACAGTCCAGTGCTTCCATATTTTCCATGGTTGTCTAACTTCAATTGATTCATGATCTCAACTATAGAAATTGCTATAATATCCACAAAAACCCCTACGGAAATTAAATTTTGTCATTATAAATTTAGTATAATATCTCTAAAAAAACACTATCAATCATTATTAATTAATGTTGTGTTATGTAACACTTACGGATGCTTAAATGTGTAGTCATAATGATTTTAGGTTAGGAATTTTAGTCATCAATTCAAGATGGTCGGCGTTTGTTATTTTATCGAATAGAACCACTGTGTACATTAAGCAGTTATCATTTTATGAAAATTTAGAACACCATTGTAGTATGTTTCTGACATTTATTTACATTGAACTACAACAACAAACAATAAGGGAAATCGAAAAAAACATTGTTTTGTTTATAACTTGTTTCATCATATTTTCAGATACTGATAAAGTGAATGTCAATAGAGATATATACTATATTCTCCATATTTGATTTAATGAATTACAGATTTCTCGAACTTTGAACAGTAAATCTCCGTTATAGATCTCGCCAAAAATGAAATCGACATAAATAACTGTTATTTAATAGCTAGTGGGGTTTAGAATACGAAGTGTCAATAAGTTTTTCGTCAAATTGAGTCAACCTAAATGATCATTATTATCAATGATAAATCGGGTGTAATAAGTCCTAACTTATAATGTAAGGATAGCTGTCATCATATAGTGGTAACAACAGGAGATCTATAGGAAACTACGAAACACTAAACAGTAGACAATTTTAGATGAAGTACGTCCAGTGAAGGAAAACACACATAGTGACTTTTGCCAACGACCACAAATAATTTTTCTTCTATAGTTAGTCATGAAAGCTAAATAATTGTCACCTTTACAATATTTATTTTTTTTCATCTTGTATTTACCCGTAATAAACATAAAGGGAGAAATAGCAAACTTCAAATGAGTATTTCATTATCAAATGGGATTCAGTAACGTAATAATCGAGCTTTTGAGCTTTCTGAAAAGCTGTTTCCAAAAAGGTTTTATTCATTCTTCACATTATCAAAAATCTTTGCACCAAACATCCCCATGTAGTATTATTAATGTCAACTAATCGTACCGTTATTCATCCAATGTCTTTGTCCTATGGAACTCTACTTTAGTATGCATTTCATTAGGGTCTATTCCCGGAAACACGTCGAACAAATCAGTGTGTGAGTTTTAAGCTCATTTCAAAACAATGATAAAGAAGCCCGGTTTTTTCTACTCGTTCTATTCAAATTCTGATCTCAATGTTGCTAATAATTCCACATTTTCAATGGTATCTTCCCAGTTTACGTGAAGATAATAACCAAGCCAACCACAAGTAAGACTTTGTGTATGAATCTTTACTTATGGTTTTTGCTTCTCATTACTTAACTCAGTTAATCTAAGAATATTTCCACTCCAGCATTAAAAGTATCAGTTGTATTTTCTATATTTAAGCCTATTTTTATCACCTTAATTGGAGATATGTAGAAAAATCATTAGCATATTCGAACCGTAGATTGCCAGTCAGTTATGGTGTAGCGATATAAATTTGTTTCAGGTCTGAAATCTCATGGAGTAACAACAATCATAATTCGACATGGCTTTAAAAAGTGCCTCTGTTGAGTGTTATGAATTAATGTTTGAAGATTTGCAATGCAAAGATGTTTGGAGTTCACGAAACTATTGAGTGGAATGTGTCGACTGATAGATATTTTGGAATAATATGGAGTGATCAAGCGATGTTTGCTCGCAAGACTGGATCACTGACATAAGCGTTGAATGAGCCAAAAAACATTATATTTGTCCAGTAGAAGAGTTTCTTCTCATCAAACGAAATAACATATTTGAAAAGTATTGATACATAAATAAGCGTGCTCATACATCACAAGAGACTGAAGGGCAAGTTACTTACTATCCAGTGAATAAAGATCTTGCCTACGTTGCCACTGTGACGTGGCATAATTGCTCCTCAATATGTTAGAAACCAACTTAATTGTTATAGGAATAAACTCCAGTGTTTTTTTCACCACAGTTCAATGAGAATAAAACTACTTTCTAATTACTTTCCAAATAATAATAGAGATGATTAGATACTCAATGATATCATTAATGTTGTTCTTGTCCCTGTTAAATCTATTAGCAGCAAATCTAATGAGATGCCTGAATACGATGAGTAAGTTTTTGACCTTTGATTTTAGAAATCCATTTCACTTCATCGTTCATCAAAAAGTTTTGCTTACAGATCAAGTTTCATAATTCGATCAACATACTTTGACCAACTCTAAGAACTGAGATGTTAATGAGACTATTACGATACATCATGTCACATGAATTAAATGATTACCAGCATACTCCAAGCTGATTTTCCTTGAAAATCGACATCATTTATTTTAGGAACTGGTAGAATTTAATAATTTATTGCTCTATTTGATATTGGAAGAGTAAATTCAATGAATATCATGGGTAGTTTCCTAACCGTAATTATTTCACGAAAGCTTCACCCTGAAAAAAGACATAAATTATCGTATAGTGTGTGAAGAATAATTTTATCTTCAATCTCTAATGTTAAGATTGAAAGTTGTGAAGAATAATGGTGAACAGTTTCCAGTTAGAGTTACATTAGTCTTTAGCTGGCTTGAAATAGAGGTTGCCTAATGAATTATTTCTTTCTATTCGACTATGCCAAAATCTTAATTGAGAGCTAAGAAACTACTGATTTGAAATTGTACTTACTTTGAAATTAGTGTACTTTAGTTTATCAGATTTAATTTGTAATCCATAAAATTTGTTGCTTCTTCAGTACACATGTGATGCAAATGAAAACATTAGTACTAGTTAACAAATGTAACCCTCTTATGAAGGATTACAAAAGCAACCCAAAAAATGTTTCTCCATGGATTATCATAGACGATCATACTAACACTTTTCTTTACCAAATATCTTAGCCAACTTCCCGATTTTCCACAGTAAGATAAACATTTTTATTTATGTTATTATTACTTCGATATTTGGTACTTTTTTGGGATCAAATACGAAATGCTTATACGGTTCCATATGGAAAACTAAACATGATATTCATGAAATAATGTATAACAGTACAATCTTTTAGGTGATTTGAAGTAATGATTTATTCGATGTATTATAGTTCCCACATTGATTGAAAAAGCTAAATTCTGCTCTGATAAAAATAACACTGCATCCTTTCTTCCTAATCTCCACCATACTCAAAATCTTCCTTTATACATGAATAACAGACAGATTTTATTCAATACTATTACAAACGGCACAAAATCATACCGTTACAATAAAAGTGGCAATTTCATAAATAAATTTGCACATTTGTCTCTTCTAAAAAGGCCCAAACGACAATAAAACTGATCTAACTTAAAGTATGTTTATTAGTAGTATCGGTGTTATCCCTCTGATAATATTCAGTGATAACACAATTTTCACCCTTAAGAATACCTCATTTCAGTGTCATGACAGGAGAGAACATTAAAAGTGACAGAAATATACTTATGAGCTGTAATTCACACGAGATGAATAGCTCAACATAACTGAATATTTGATAGTTCTGAATTCATATGTCTAGTTTTCAGCACTTTACAATTCCATTAATTGTGTTTATTGTCTGAGCATTAAGTTTAAATACTCTATCCGTTTAACTTGTTGAGAGGTAATGTCCCAATCTTTATCAACATGGATCATACTTGTAAACAAACAACATGTTTTCCCATTTTATTAACTCGCTATGGTCATGTTATTTTCAGCAGCATTTGTTGTATTACTCTAATGATATTATTTCTAAGATTATTGTAGAGGTCAAGAAAACTGCACTTTGTAGCTACTAAACTTTGTTCTTCATAGAAACTACAGTGAAACGTCCCAACTCTATCTGGCAGAGATATTATTTAGCGAAGGATAGGATTAAACACAGTTGTTTTGTTTGTTTGTTCGTGGAATTCATCATCTGAATGCAACCACGAGTGTAACTGTGATTATTCGTCTTGATCTCTATACCGATCACTCGAAATTAAAAAAATAATTAGCTATGATACCTAGATTAAATTACCATTTTGCTGAATTCAATGAAACCAGAAAAAATGTTGAACCAGTTTGATCTTTAATATTCTGAAAATTATCATTTGAATATTGAACACTGTCACAATTAACTCTTCATTTAATTTCACATTTGGAATAAAAGTTTGGGCTTGCTATTATTCAAAGCGTATAACTTTCTGTTGATATCAAGAAATCTAGTGGTCACACACACACACACACCATCTCTGATAAAATATTTAAGCTCATGCTATTTCTTTCCCCTCTAATCATTCTTTGAATTATAGCAAGCAATTAGAGGAAGAGCAGTAAGGCTACTTATTCCATATCATATTTCTTACGATGCTTTTTTTATTATCTAATCAAATTAAATGATATTTTCCCTACTGTATATCTAAAAAGTACGATATAATACAGTGTTATGCAAACTGGAAGAGTAACTTCTTTTTTGATTCCATTACAGAAATTTTCTATATCATTCATGTTTATCACATATTACTATAGAGATTATAAATTCATTTAGTATTGTTTGTTTGAATCTTCCCATCGATGTGTTATGACTGCAGCTGGTCAGTCTCTAATTGGCATATGTGCATACTGTGCGTAATGCCTCGATATAGCCTTGATTCACAAACATTGTAAGCAAAGTTGGATAGTGGCTAGCAGTGGAATTCAGGACGCGCGTTCTGTCCTATTTGGGACTCGTCAGCTGGATGTACCTGCATCTCAGAGTTGATGTTCACTCTGGAGTGGATAACGCGATTTCGTTTGAAGCGAAAAGTACTGGGCTCGCGTCCCAGAGTGAACATCAACTCTTTGATGCAGGTACATCCAGCTGACGAGTCTTAAGTAGGACTAAACGCGCGTCATGGACTCCACTGCTAGCCACTATCCATCTTTGCTTACAATGCTATAGAGATTATAGTTTGTTACTTATTTCACTATGCATATATTCAATTTGATCTGATTAAACATTTAGATGGCTACTTTTGTTTACATATAACAGCGATCAGCAGTCCATCGTCATGAAAATTTTCTGTTCCATAGTTAATCAAACTACTTAGACTATTATAATTCAAATGAGTGAATTAGATGCATTATCGTTATCATTGAATGTCATTACATTGGTTTATAATGAAGATAAAACAAAATGGGAAGTTTTCTGATTATGCATATTTGGATAGTTTTTCAGCAATCGAGAAAATACAAACTAGTTACATTGTTATATAATTCAGAAGTTAGTTTTACTAACATTGTTACTGATTGAAGAGATTCCGAATAGAATCGTATACAGATAGTAGATGATCAGTGAAAAGTTATTTCGATTTAAGAATTCTTAGAAGGGATTGAGGGATCTTAAACAGGTCACTACATCTTATGTATAAAATTTGTAAAATTAATCGAAATGTTATGCACTTCTTTTTCGTATACTGCTCTGGACATGTTTTATTGGTTATTAGTTTTAAAAATCAACAGATTCAAGGAATAAAAACTTTGGTCGATAGCATTCGATCAGCACTAAGAAGGACTTGACACGCATGACATTGATCACCACCCAGTGATCAATCTATTGTGATTACATCTCAGTCCTACAGGATGTCGGTCGCGACCCGAATACCTCAGTGGTAACGAAGCTGAGTGATCCGGGATCGAATCCGTCAGGGAGCATCAGTTCCCTCAAGATTACAGGTACACCTTGCTGATGAGTGCCAAGTAGCACGGAATCCGTGTCCAGGGTTTCCTGTTGACCACCTCCAACCACCACTTTATCATTCCATCAATTAATATTAGACTGTTAAATTTCACTCACGTAAAACCTAATCTAAGCCAGTATATCGATTATTCTTTGCTTTCTTTAGGAAACCGTTTCACAAACTTTCCGAAATGTAAGCTGCAAACTGATTTTTTGTATAGAACTAACTGGTGTACATTCAGCTATGCGTATTTATTGTATGATTAATTTTAGCTTAAGTGATGACATCATTTAAATTGAATTATAACGACTGACTTCGAAAACAATGACGAAACGAATATTGAGTGCAGAACGTCTACTCAACAAAACTAGTTTGTTCGTTACTGAATAAATCATCTCTTCATACTATATATATTATTCATGTAGAACATTATTTGGCCATTCTTTAAACTTGAATTACTCTGAGAGAAAGACTTTTCAGACCACACAATAGACAAAGAATCCAACTTTTGACAATGAAAGCTAATATCTGTTTTTTGAATCTATTTTCATTATAGTCTCAATTCTGGATCTGTGTAAGTTTTAAGTGATAGAAAGTTTACTATTTTTAGAGATCATAATTCCTTTTTATCGATAAAATAAATCATTCATCAATGACAGGTTACGATAATAATGATGATAATTATACCTCAGTACTTCGATTGTGTTTAATCGTCAGTTACAGTTGTGATATTTCTGAACCAAGAAAGCTTACTTTTGTGGTTCAATAAATAACAAGGAGTATCGTATTAGAAAAGGATGTCTATTTGCAAACTTGATAAGTGAAACTATGAAATGCTTTCTACTCATTGGATTTATTTATATGTCAGTATCTCCAGTCAATGTATTACTTGATTGGCTTCTCGTAAACAGACAAGTTAATGTGACAATTTGACATTCATTTGAAAACTTTCACAAAGTCTATAACTTCACTTACATTCATTGGATATCTTCATTCTACTTCGTTATTATGGAAATATTATTAGGGAAGCACACTCTCGATCATTTTGAATTTGACTACAGTGATAAGAAAAATTCATTTTAATTTTCAAAATATTTATACAACATAGCATACCACTGTGGTTGGCGAAGTGAGTGAAATTTTTAAAACTAATATTAAAGTAGTTTAAAACAGTTTTATGTTCATAATATTATTAACATCACGTAATGATCTTTATAAAAGAGGAATTGAGTATCAGGAAGCATTGGATACCTGTCTTGTCACAGTTTTCGACCTCTTACTAGTACGCATTCACTACCCCACCACCAAGGATTAAACCAAGCACCTACGGTTTTAAAGCTCTATGCTATGATAAAACAGATGTTTAGTGATTTACAGTTAACTCTAGTCACTTAAAAAGGATTAATCGGTGACTTTAACGATAAAAATTGGAGTCTCCATTAAGCCTCCTATAGTAATTATATGTTGTTTTGTGTATTAAATAACTAGCATTTTGAAATGAGATTATATTCATAGATAATAATAGAAGATTCTATGGGATTCGTTAATGTAGAGTTTATTTCAGCAAGATAGAAGACTACATTTTTTACCCTTATTTTTCTCTAAAATAATAATTCCTTATTGTAGCCCAATATACTATGTGTTAGAGTAAGTTTTATTTGGAAACAACATAAATCAAAATATACTCATTACAATTTGTTAACAATTCCGTATTCAAATTATGTTTTATACTGGTTGGCTTATTTTCAGATCATTCTTTTTAAATATTAACATAATAATATTATATATCTGGGCAGTATCGTCGATGAACATGGTGGATCAGATGCAGATGTGAAGGCGAGGATCCGCAAAGCAAGAGCAGCATATTTACAACTAAAGAATATCTGGAACTCGAAACAATTGTCATCAACATCAAGATCAGAATTTTCAATACAAATGTGAAGACAGTTCTACTGTATGGGGCGGAGACGTGGAGAACTACGAAAGCCAGCATCCATAAGATACAGGTGTTTATTAACAGTTGTCTACGCAAGATACTTCGGATCCGTTAGCCAGACACTATCAGCAACAACCTACTTTGGGAGACGACAAATCAGATTTTAGCGGAGGAAGAAATCAGGAAGAAGCATTGGAAGTGGATAGGACACACATTGAGGAAATCACCCAACTGTGTCACAAGACAAGCTCTCACATGGAATCCTGAAGGCGAAAGGAGAAGAGGAAGACCAAAGAACACATTACGCCGAGAAATGGAGACAGACATGAGAAGAATGAACAAAAGTTGGATAGAACTAGAGAGGAAGGCCGAGGACAGCGTGGGTTGGAGAATGTTGGTCGGCAGCCTATGCTATATTGGGGGTGAGTAAGTAAGGTTTCGGAAAATCACTTCAGCCTTAATAAATTCTACCAGTTGTTCAGTTATAATTTGTTCATGGATTATTCCATTGAATGATGTTAATTAATTTATCAAAATCCATATTCTTATATATTAGTCTATTCAGGGTATATAAAAAATCGAATCCAGTACACATATATTATGTCTACAAATAGACAAATAGACTCTTCACCATAATTTCTCTGAGCAATCATTGTATCAGTGATAAATTATCTTTCTAAATTAATTTCTAAGATTGTTTCCAAGAGCTATATCATGTAAGTTGAAAAATTTTAATTTGCTTTGGTTGATAATTCAAACTTATTTTTATTTCAGGCTAGTCGATCTCATTGTTTAGTAGTTATACGAATGTTTGTAGTTTTATTTATTTGAACACATAAATATTGGTACAAGGAAGCACCAGATATATATGCGCCGCACAAATCGTGGTTTGGAGTCAGGGTTTTCCAACTCCCCTAGGTGGACTCGCCGTGTCCACCAACCCGGTTAAAGCACCGGGCATTCGCTTTTCGTCCTCTCAATTTCGTAAAAAAAACAGTAATGTCACCAGAAGACAGTGAGTAGGACTTCCCTGACAGAGGCTATATACGCGTGGCCATGTGAGGGCATTTCGAGAGGAAGAGCGGACTCTCCACACTCTCAGCCGTACCAGAACGTTTGTAGTGAAAATAGTAACTAGACAAAACCAGTGACTGTACTATTATAATAATCTAACCTAAGAATTAAACTTTCTTTCAAATGTCAATTCAACGTTATTAGGAACGATTTTGGAACTCAGGTCCAGTTACTTGATAACATTTCCTAGAGTCTTATAACATTTACTGACTGAATGGTTTCTTGTAATACAAATGCCATCATATAAACAACATCACTGATAGTATTATGAGACAGATAACTAATACCTATTAAAAACATCAAAGTCCAAATCACATAATAATTGAAAAGTGATTGTCTCTAGAATAAATAATTAAGTTCCCCACTTAGGGATTGATTATCTTTCACTAATCATATTGTGTCTTTATTTTTAATTCTTTAGATTACTTCAATTAAATGCAAGCTGACGAAAATATGTTGAATGATTTCATATGATACATATTGACCAATTTAAATAAAATATCATTTTTCAACTTTATAATCACAACAATTATTTTTATCACATACAATACATATTGTACTTAATTAGTTGAGAGTTATTATATTAGAGCAATTCAGTAATCAGAAACAAGGTAAAAAACAAATAATGAAAATAAGCAAATATAGATGGTGGCTAGCAATGGAATCCAGAACGCGCGTTTCGCCCTATTTGGAACTCGTCATCTGGATGTACCTGCATCTCAGAGTTGATGTTCACTCTGGGACTCTGGGACCAGTTGCACTCCTAGGCATCAATGGAAAGATTCAAACAAACAATACTAAGTGAATTAATGAAAATGTCTTATAAACTATCATATTAATGTATTCAGATATAAAGGCTTGTAACTCTTTATATATATATATATATATATATATATATATATATATATTTATTTATAATAAATAAGCAAGGTTTACATTGTATATAAATATAAAGGCATCGAATTACACATACATATAGATGTTGTTAGTAGTTTAATTCCGTTCCATACTATTGTCAATGCAAAGGGGGGAATACAACCTACTAAGCAAATACTTAATGAAATTTGATCATTTTTACAGGAATATGTATTTTTCATATGTTTTCTAAATAGTCATTAAGCTATCAAATTACTATTTTACTTAGCATGGTAGAATTAAATAAAGTCATTGCAATTAAACATCTGATGTTCTTCTGCTTTGTGGGTCACAATTAAAATACAAAATATCCTTCAATGTTTTATGAGTAACTTTAAATAGTTTTTATCCGATATGAAAATATGAATTTGTAAAAGTCATAACTAAATACATCGGATGCCGGCTCAGTGGTCTAGAGGTTAAACGCTCGGGCGCGAGACTGATAGGTCCTGGGCTGAAATCCTGTGAGGCGGGATCGTGGATGCTCACTGATGGGGGTCCCACAATAGGAAGAAACGGACGTCCAGTGCTTCCAGGTTTTCTATTTTGGTTTAACTTCAATGGACTCATGATTTCAACTATAAAAAAATCGACCAATCATCACTAATATCTCGTTTAATATTTCACATAACAATTCGAAAAGATGAATGTTTACAAAAACATGAAAAGATATTGCATTCACAATGATTATTTCTTTATCATTTTACTTCTAATAAACTTCATCCTATTAGGCATTCTCTTGAAAAATATACACAGAGAAATAATATGAAGAATAAAACGGTGTCGCTTTTTTCAATCTTTAGCGAATAAATTAAATTCAAAAAGGTGCCAAAATAAATAATTGATATTGACATAAACAAATCAATTGAAAAACTTACTAATTTGGCAAATTGATTAAATTTCAAAGTGAAAACATATCATAATATTTTATAATTGGTCAGAAGCACAATTGTTGGTGTCGTAATCTATTGACAGAGTCTTTGCCGTCATTTCCCGACAACTAAAACTAGTAAGCGTAGCATAACCAATGGATATCAATGAACTAGCAAAAGTAACCTGACAGTTGGTGACCTGAACAGTAGCTCTGGTGGGGTGTGGAAGTAATGAGATAAACAGTGTCGAGAAGATAGAGGAGTTGCAGCATGAGAGCAACACAATGTGAGTGAATAATAACAGGAATAATAAATGTCACGCTTATGTAGGAACTGGACATTGGAAGAAAAAATGTTCAACAAGACGGAAACACAGATATTTCAAACTATATAATTCGTGTCCTATGTACCCAAGGAATCTGGGGCTCGTTGGATTAGTAGGCAGAGCGGCATTCTACATGACAGCAAGCATAAACGAACTAGATTTAGTACGTTTGATAAATGCAAGGGGAACGGTATCATTATTAGGCACAGAGCAACGCAATAGACTTAATCCATGTACATTAGCTGTCCACTCCATATTGGGCCACATATTAGAGGTTGTGGATATGTATAACATTACTGTAAAAGTTGGTAGTGCTGAGATAAATTCTTCCTTTGTGGTAACTACGGTCAGGTTATTGGTAATAGCCTACAAAAGAGAGCGATCGAAACAAGACAGCATTTATCGTGCGTGATAAGCAGTATCAACTGAGATGAATGTCGTTTAGGTTGGCAAGTGTACCGTTTACGTTCAGAATAATAACAATGCTGCTACTCAGGGATCTAGAGAACGTTGGGTTGTATGGCGACAATATATCTGTGTACAGCCGTACAGACTCAGATCATGTAAAGTATGTGGAAGCTGTCCTAATGCCAACTGAAGAAAATGGACAACGAGTTAATAAGTGAAAGTTGCAGATTGCGAGATAAAACGTCATCTTGTTGGGGCATAAATTGGTAAACGGAAAAATAAAACTACTGCCGAATAAAATCCTAACCATAAAGAACATTGCAGTACCTAATTCGATAAGGAAATCAAGTCCATTCCTGGGAAGGATGGCGCTCTACAGTTCCTTCTTCAAGAACTTCAATCAAATAGCAAAACCCCTATTGAAGTTGTTATGCAACACTAAGTTCTCGTGAACAGAGACAGCTTAACAAACTTTCGGCCTAATCAAAAACCTGTCAAGCGACCGTCAGATGACGCTCAGGTTGCTTGAACCCCAAAAACCATTCACAGTGGCCACAGATGAAAGTGATGATTGTATGGGTTACGTCATAAGTCAATATGTTAGAGTGATGGAATACGCGAGTTGCGTCCTCACATCCACTGGACAGAATTATTCGACGATCGAAAACGGGTGTCTGGCGGTTTTGTAGGCAGCGGACAAATGGAGACCGTACCTGGTGGGGAGATGAATCCGCATCAAAACTGATCGCAACCCCCTACAGTGATCGAAAACAGCTAGAGATCCCGTGGGAAATTAGCGCGATGGATGATATGTCTGCAGGATTATGACTTTAATATCATGCGTGTTTCAGGGAAGGAGAATGTAATGGCGGGTTAATTTTTGAGGCCAAACATGAAAGCTGAACTTCCACTGACAGCATACGCAGTGAATATTCTAGAGGGAGACCACGAGAACTTATCTGGCAGCAAAAGTCTGACTCTTACCTTCGTGAGGAAATCACAATGATAAAGGAAACAGCAAACGTCGATAAATGAACAAAGGACAATGAGGTAATAATGTTGTTTTGGCAGAAAGAAAGACCGAGAGTTAATGCATATGGAGGCTCGATCTGGCTGGATGATGGCGAAAATTGGGTGGCAGCGATACCGAAGTATTTGATGCATAGGATGATAGGGGAGTGTTACCAAGTAGCACATACGGGTACCGCAAGAATGACGGATTTACTATGAAAAAATAAGTATTGACAAAGCATGAGAGACAATGTGGCCCAGTACGTGTTAACTTGCCAGTGGTGCC